AACTCTATACCCTTTTATTTATTTTTTTGGTAGAGACTCTGTATCATTTTATTATTCCTTTGTTTTGTGAATAAGGGTGAAAGTAGGTTGGGCTGGGCCAAACTTTGTCCCGAAAAGCCCAAGCCTACGGCAAAAAATTTCAATTTGACCTGATCCAAGCCTGGTAGGAGTCTAACTGTTAGTCTAACTTGACCCGTTTATAAAAAACAAACGGTCTGACCTAACCCGTTAGCCTATTAATTTTTAACTTCCAAGCAGAATCATGAAGCAAATTTAAAAAATACTCAAATTCTGTTGCTAAACCAAAAATCATAATTTCAACGTCCAAACAGAATCATGAATCACAACAAAACTCATACAATCTGTGTATTTAAGTCACTTTCAAAAGCAAAATGCTCAAACTAAATAACATATATTTCATCAGATCCAACAAAGAAATCCATACTATGTAAATTAAAATAACTACATGAATCCAACAAACGCACCATGATGCTTGTAGTAAGTATAATCTCTCCCAAAAACCTTTTAATATATATTCATAAATACAATGTAACATGCTGAGATGTTGGTTTCTCCTACATAAGAAATAAAGTCAGATTTCTATTGAAATATAATCAAATATAATTAAGTTATAAATAATTGCAATTGATTAAATTTATTTTTTTTATTTTTTTCTTCAAGGAATACTTATTATATTTTATTTTATTAAAATAAATAGTACAATATAAGTCGGACTGTATGCTTATAGGCCAGGCCTTGTGAAAGTGAGTCTCCGGCCTTTTTATTAAACAAGCATTTTCAAGGCTCAAATCTGACCTATTTTACGAAGTATACTAGGTCAGGTTTGGCTTAACATAGGCCGAGCCATAGGCCTCTATAGACCGGTCCGATCCAGTTTCACCCTTGCAGCCCTTGAACCTACTACATTTTTACCTAAACGTCTTAATTATTTTTGTATGGTTTCTGAATTCCGTTATCTTATTATTTGTTTTAAGTTGCAAATATTATAATAAGTAGATGGTATAATTGGTAATGTTATATATATAAACGTCTTGTAACTTACCAAAAAAATTATTATTTTTATTATTTATTAGAATATCATATCTAAATTATTAAAAATTATTTAGTAAGTTCGGCTATTATGTAATTAATTACGGTATGATCACATTAATTTGAGTATGCGCCTATTTTAGCTATATAAAGATATATGTGATGTGATATTTGGTTTTTTATTTATTATTGACATCAAATTTTTCTTTCAATAATAATTAATTCAGTTTTATCATATAATAACTAATTTTAATGTCATTTTAAATTTTAAGGACAAATTTGCAAACAAAAATATGATTTGGTTTCATAGATTTGAATGATTAATTTGATGAATCTATTTGTAAAAGAAATTAATTTTGTAATCAAAACGTTGGCATAATGAGATGATATGTTTATTAAATATTTTGGTAAATGAGTGGCTCCTATCATTTTAGCTTATCCATATCATCCATCATTGAATCTATAGGCTTTTGTGTGTTTTTTTAAAAAAGAAATATTATTTTTAATCAATTTTTTTGTTAATAATTAAATAAGATTTTAAAAAAAATTAAAAATTACTGAAAATATTTTAGCAATTTTTCATAAGTTTCATAAATAAAAAATCTTGATTTTTTATTTTTATTTTCAAATTATATCCAAAGGTCTCCTTCTATCAAACTTTTGACAAAAAGTAGCTGTGCTGTGCAGCAATACTAGTACAATAATACAATGTGATGTCATGTATGTTATTGAAAGACAAAAATGAATATTTACTGTATTCAAAATTTAATACCACAGATCATATATTTGATTTTGATTGTGAATGTGAAAAATTAATTATTATTTTGATTAAAATAAAAGAAAATTTCTATCTTGAATGATCATAATAAAATATTGCTATATTGACCAGCACCGTGTGTCTATTACTTTTTTTTTGTCAAGCTACAAAAATTAATAAATAAAAGATGGTTAAAGTTATATAGTTACAATTATATACTAAGGAATTGATAAGTATTTAAAAATAATTGTAATTTCATTATTTTTTAAAATAAATAATAAGATGTATCTATAATTGTATATATCTTCTAATTTTCTTTAAGTATTTAATGTTAAAAAATTTAAACGAAATTAGTAATAATAGTTTTGGGAAAACAAAAATTGAACACCAAAGTGAGAAATCCTTTTAACAGTAAGTATAATATTCTTAAATTATCCTCTAAACATCTTTTAAATCATTTAAAATAGAATATATTAAATAAAAAATATAGTAAATTCATTAAAAAACGAAGAAACTTTTATTTATTTTTAAATAATCACAGGGATTATTATACTGATTATTGAGAGAATTCTGAAATTTTCGGGCTTGTGTAAATCTCTTTTTTCTTTGTTCATAACATGTATTTGTGATAAGCATAGGATATGAGTTTAATGTATCTTATATTATAGTAGTTAAAATTATATATATATATATATATATATATATATATATATATATATATATATATAAATGTGGATGAAACTTATATTCTCTTTTTTCTTTACAAGACCTCATATGGATTTCACACATTTTTTTCATGTCTATAGGAGATAATTTTATTTCCTACTATGGGTGTTCGCGATCTGGATTATATTGATTTTGAAACAAAAATTATCCGATCCAATCTCTTCTGTTTCATCATTTAATCATTCATTTGGTTTGAATTTTTTTTAAAATCAAATCCAATCCAATTTTATTCGGTTTGAATTGGATCGATTTTTTATCTTTTGAAAAGCTTAAAATTTCAGTTATACAAATCACTAGCTATATCAAAATAAAGTCATTCAAACATAACAAAGCACTCAAAAATTCAAGTCTTCAAACTAAAACAAGTCTTAAAATCATGAAGAGTTAAAATAGATTAATAGAAAAAAAAAACTAAAAGAAAATAGTTTGCTATCAATAACATCCAAGATTTTAAATCTACAAAATAAAAGTATTCCAAATCTTTCAAAAATAATAAATACATAATGCATTGATAAAATTTGGATTGGATTAATTTTTACAAACCAAATCGAAAATCGATCCAATCTAATTAAAATATTTTTTTTTTCAAATTTTAATTTTTTAGTTAATTTCATTTTCAATTTTTCACTTTGATCACCAAGGATTAAATCGATGAACACTCGTGTCTCCAACTGGGATTCATCAAACGATATATATATATATATATATATATATATATAGAGAGAGAGGTAGGATCCTTTGACACCAGTGTCAAATTTAAAACACCTCATCTGAAGAGCCGTTAGATAAAAAAATATCAACGACTCTGATTTGTAAGCCTGTGACACCATTGATCTTTTTTTATCTAATGGCTCTCAGATGAGGTGTCAAACTTTAAATTTGACACTGATGTCAAATGATCCTACCTCATATATATATATATATATATATATATATATATATTTGAAATACTCCAATCAATTCATTGCTTCGCAATTAATTCGATTGGAGGCGGGTCCAGGATTAAGACTTTAAACCCCTCCCAAAAGTGATACCGGGAAGATTCAAACATATACTCTCACCCCTAGGGGTGATAATAAGGCCAGGGGCCTATCAGGGGCCTTAGGCCCGGCCCGTTTCGGCTCGGCTCGGCTCGTCTTTTTTTATTATTAAGCCCAGACTTATACTCATGCAAAAGCCTTTTAATTTAAAAGGCCTCAGGCTTCCATAGCCAAGCCCGGCCTTGAAGCCTTGGAGGCTGGCCCATATACATTAAATTTATTTATTTTTTATATTTTTATATTAATCATTTCAACATCTTTTTCTCAGTTTTCTGTCTCTGCTCTATCTCTTCTCCCCGATCTAAGTCATCGTCCCACCAACAGGTAAATGAAGTCATGTTCATCATCTATTTTTATAAGCCATGCGGATTCCACGGCTTATAATGATGCTTATGGCGACGACCGTGGAAGAAAATTTAATGTAAAATGTGGAAGAAAATTTATTGGTGGGGTTCAAATCTACTGTAAAAAATCTAGAATATTAAGGAATGTGGAAGAAAATTTAATGTAAAAAATCTAGAATGTGGAAGAAAATTAAGGAAAAGCAACGTAAAATAAAGTAAAGGTGTTGTTGTTATTTTGATTTTTTAATATTAATGTTTTTTTATTATAAAAGAAACAACTATTATTTTCTTACAAAAAAATACATATCAGTGCATGATTAATGGGCTAAATACTGATACAAATTGGAAGGTAAGGTTTTTATTTTTAATAAATAAACAGGCCACAGGCTTTTATTTTTTGTAAATGAACCAGGCCACAGGCTAATATTATATTCGTAACAGGTAACAGGCTAAGGCCGGTCTGACACGTTTAAATACAGGCTTGGCCCGTTAAGATCAAAGCTCGGCTCGGCCCATTAACACCCCTACTCACCCCCACCTGCTTAGCTTCCATGCGCCAATTAAGCTACCACCATTGGGTTCAAATCATATACTCTCATTTACCTAAAAAGAGAAAAAATAAATAAAATAAAATAAATAAAATAAAAAGAAGAGTAAACACCCTTTTTAGTCCCTGGCAATATCTACGAAGTCCTTTTCAGTCCCTGGCAATAAAAAAAGACCAAATTAGTCCGTGAAAGTACTAGAAAAGGGCCACTCTACATATTTGGGAGTTGACATAAGGACTAACATGGCCCTTTTTTTGTAATTTCAGGGACCAATTTGTTCCTTTTTTATTGTCAGGGACTAAAAAGGACTTCGTAGATATTGACAGGGACTAAATAGGGTGTTTACTCTAAAAAGAAAGAAAGGCACGTGCGTAGTTCCAGCGGTGCAAATTAGCACAGGGAAGTAAGAGAAAACTAACTTGATCGGGTGGAAAATGTCACCCGTAGTATAGACAAAAAACCACCGTTCTCTCTTTCTCTCACCAGCAATTATACGGTGTGTTTGAACTTTGAAGGCCAAATCATGCACAGTGCCTTGCAGTTACAGCTCCTGCAACTCTCTTCTTCCCTCAATTTTCACTTTGCATTTCGCTATTTTGCATAGCTCATGACCTTAAAGTTTTCCCAATTGCGTCAAAGGTATGCGTAATTTCACCAAACCCCTTCCCCCAATTTAGGGTTTTTGAAAAACTTCAATGGTGATTGAGTAGAATTAGCCTTCTGGTCCAACTTGCATTGTTGTTTAGAATTTTCATTTTTCCTTTCTTTTGTTCATGTAATGGGGAATGTTGAAATCCCCAATTGGCTCAAAGGGTTGCCACTTGCACCGGAATTTCGCCCTACTGATACTGAATTCGCCGACCCAATTGCTTATATTTCGAAGATTGAGAAGGAAGCTGGCAACTTTGGGATATGTAAGATTATCCCACCGTTGCCTAAACCTTCAAAAAAATATGTTTTTTCTAATTTGAATAGTTCCCTCTTGAAGTACCCGGATTTGGGTACAGATAACAGTTCCTTAGGTGTTTGTGATTCTTCGAAAATGGGTTCTAGGGATAGTGGTAGTGATGGGGTGTTGCGAGCTGTGTTTACTACAAGGCATCAAGAACTGGGGCAGAGTGTGAAAAAAGCCAAAGGGACAGTTCAGAATCCAATGTCATGTGTTCAAAAGCAAGTATGGCAAAGTGGGGAGCTCTATACATTGGAACAGTTTGAGTCTAAATCGAAGTCTTTTGCTAAAAGTGTGCTGGGTATGGTGAAGGATGTTTCTCCACTAGTTATAGAGGCTATGTTTTGGAAGGCAGCTTTAGAAAAGCCTATATATCTGGAGTATGCCAATGATGTGCCTGGTTCTGCTTTTGGAGAATCCAAGGGTCATTTTCGTTATAGTCATAGAAGGCAAAGAAAACGGAATTCTTATAAGAGAAGATTGGAAAACTCTGATTGTAAACAAACTGAAACAGGTAGCTCAAGAGATGCCCAAAGTGATGAGACTAAGGGTGCTTTTGCCCAAAGTCTTGTAGAGACATGTTTACAGATGTCCAAATCAGCTACGAATGTGTCAACTTTCTCACCAAATGAACCTTCACAGTCTTCTAAGGAAAAGAGCTCAGATGCCAGCAATGATATGCAAGGCACTGCTGGTTGGAAGCTTTCAAACAGTCCTTGGAACTTGCAAGTTATTGCACGCTCATCCGGCTCGCTAACACGTTTCATGCCGGATGATATTCCTGGTGTTACTTCCCCCATGGTATACATTGGTATGCTGTTCAGTTGGTTTGCCTGGCATGTAGAGGATCATGAGCTTCACAGCATGAACTTTCTTCACACTGGCTCATCAAAGACTTGGTATGCTGTTCCTGGAGATTATGCCTTTGCTATTGAGGAAGTCATCCGCTCTGAGGGTTATGGTGGTAATATTGATCACTTAGGTATGTGAATTCTTTGACTATTGTCTGTTTATGGAGAATTTTGCACCAAAGGTTGAAAAGGCATAAAATAATTTCATCAATTTTTTTTTATTAAAATGCTTCTGTAAGTTCTTTAATGCATATGGAAGGACAAAACTATAGTAATACTTGATCTATATATTTGGCATATCAAGAAAAGTGTGTGGTGATTCTAGAGTGTCAAGTTTTCTTATATTTGCTAGCAAATGGTCGCCTGTTTGCATTATGCCTGCCCATTGAATATCCATCTCTAAGTATTTGTTATACAGGGATGATATAGTAAGTAGCTAACTTAGGTAGCTTTTCTCTCTCTCTCTCTCTCTCTCTATAGCTAATTTCCTTGTTGTATTTCTATTATTCTCTAGAAAAGTGCTAATTTCTGTTGGTGTTTTTTGGCACAAGACATATTGGAAATGCTATGAAAACTTGCTATTATATAAGTGCTTAATAAGTTTTTCTTTGTTTTATAGTAGTTCTTCATTTTTTTAAAAATCTTGTGGGAGAGGCCTTTATACTATTTATTTAATATCACTACCATGATCTGATTTTTGTTCTATTGAAACTTGAATATTACATATCCACACTTAAGTAAATTCCAAGGCGTATGAAATCAGTGTACATGACACTGACATGGCGACATAGAAAATCTAAAATAGAAGGTTACTACTAAATTTTATACAAGTACGTAAGGTAAAATGTATTCAGAAAGTAGCTAACATATGCAAAATATAATTTTTTTCCCCTCTAACATCACTATTGGAAGTGTTGAAGTGTCAACACTTGTTTCAAGAGTCTAATGTACCAAACACGGACACAGCTTTGTTTTTAGGGCAGAAGAAAATTTCTATTGATACTGCATCTTAAATTCATGGAACTCCACAACCTCAAAGGTCATGAATAAAGCCACCCCTCCCTACCCAAAAAAAAGGAATTATATTTTTGAATTCAAAGCTTGTTCATCTCATTTGTTTTTCCTATTATTAGATCCATTTTTTCTTAAGTTAGTTGAATGCTATAACTTCTACAGTGCTTTTGTAACTCAATAAGTACGGTTTCTTTTCTTGCCAGCTGCTTTGAAACTTTTGGGTGAGAAAACAACTCTTTTGTCACCTGAGGTGGTTGTTGCATCTGGGATTCCTTGTTGCAGGTCAGTTGCTTGACATATTAGATATGCTTTTATGTCATAATGACTAATGATGTTAAATTATATACTATCAAATTATTATCTTTTAAGATCTATAGTCATAATAGAGATTGTTGCTGGAGTTTCTGCTGAATCTCATATTCTCTTTGTTGAACTTCTACTTATGTCTGTGCTGGTTTTTCTTTTTAGGTTAGTACAGAACCCTGGTGAATTTGTCGTGACTTTTCCAAGAGCTTATCATGTAGGATTCAGCCATGGTAATTGCTCTGAATTCTATGTACATTCCCTATATTTTGCATAATACTGGTGTTGTAGGTTTTTAGTCTATAAATGATGATGGGTTGATCATACAGGCCTTTCTAAATGTGTGCTATATGGAGCTGTTTGTCATGTGATGCATGAAGAAATTGCATGCATGTTGAAGTCTACTGTTAAAATGCCTTTGGTTCATGACATGCTTTGTTGACTTCATAAGAATATCAATATATTATATGTGATGTTTGATAAGTTGAATAACAAGACAAATTAGTCTTTTCAATGTGGGGGGAAGTTTTTTTGTCCTTTAAAGTCTGAAAAAATATAGTTAAAATTAGAATGTGCTGATCATTTATTAATCATTTGGCCAGTTGGTGATTTTAAAATTAATTAAAGCTGGTGTGGGCCCTATATTTCTTTATGACATTATCAATATATCCTCTGGGTGGGTGAAATGCCAAAATACTTAAGAAATTTTCTATCTGACAACCATAAGATCAATAATGCTCCATGGTAGTGAAGATGATAAAAACTCACCAAAGGTGGTTTGGTCGTGTGAGAAGAACACCAATAGAGGCTCCAGTAAGAAAAGTGGATCAATGGATGATAGTTCAATTGAAAGGGGTGTATGAAGACATAAGGAATCATTAGGAGAAACCATTAGAAAAAACATTGCTCTAAATGGTTTTGCTGAAAATTTGGTTTTCGATAAAGCTCAATGGTGTTGGCAGATCCATTTAGCCAAATCCACTTAGTGGGGTATGGCTTGGTTGCTGTTGTTGGAGCATGTTGGGGATGGCATTGGCATGTAGGTTCAAGTCTAGGACCTTCTACAAACTACTCAAATTCCTCTGCATTGGCCCACACTTATTGGCTTTCCATGCTCCCTGCTGCCACTTTTGCTGCAGGTAGTTACATGTGGTCACATCTTTCAGACTGCCTACGCAGAATTAAATCCCCTGCTACCTCCCGTTTCATTCTAAAATTCACCTTAGTAACCTTAGGGTGCCTAACAAAATATAATGCAAGCTGAATGATAGACTCAAATAATCCTTAAGGCAAAATTAACGGAGAGCAAGTTCAACTGATAACATTCAACAATGGAAATTATGAAGTCCAGTACACAACAGCAAGAAGCTTGTGGAATGAAAGGAAGTTACAGCAAGAAGCTTGTGGAATATAAAGGAAAATACAGCAAAACAGAAAAGGAAAATTGCAGAGCACTTAGAGATGCTCTGAGTGTCTCTCAAGCCCATTCCCAAGTTCTAGAAAATGTCCAAGCCTTTCCCATGCCATTCACACTTCCTTTAACTACCATCAGGTTCCATGCTGTTATTCTGTTGCAGAATTGCTGACTCAGCAGGTGTTCATATTCTCCTGTGCTTGTTCCTAGAGTACACCTGAACAGTTAGGGCTTTAGATGATTGGACCGTATCACTGAACCTTTTTTCTTTAAGAGAAAAATGAACTAATATGTGCTATAGGGCGGTTAAGGGAAGGAGGTTGGACATCTTTTATACATTTATGGATTGGAAAATGCTATGTAGCTGAAGTATATGAAGCATGGATACAGGTATGGCTATCAGATACGACAATGATACCCAACAGAGATATGACATTTCTTAAAAACTAGGATACTGATATGACAAGATATGGGCCGACACATAAAAATTTATGTATGTCTTCCCAAAAGCCACCTATTATTCAATGGCTAAAGATAAGACTTACTATGTCACATCTTCTGGATATCCCTTTCTTCTAACTACTTATGCCTGTACAGTACCATAATGGAACTGATAAAATATATTTTAAGAACATAATATGATAAGATAAACTCCAGGAAATGGTGCAAGGTCTCTGCAGAGAAAGATAGAAGATGTTGAAAAAGTGCAGTCTTTGTGCATAACGGTAGATATTCAGAGGGTTGATGGCTTATTCACTGCATAAATTTAGCTTGCCTGCTGTTTCTCTTTATGATTTTCTGGTGGATTTATTTTTGTCCCTTCTTTTTCCTCTTCTTTCATGGGGAACCATTTGAACCAATGCATGGTTGTTTTTAATCTTAATCATGGTATTGAATCATGGTTGTTTCTAATCTGCTCTTGGTATGTTAGAAGCTCTCTTTTTTTTATTGACTTATACTGTCTCGTGAGGTCTATCTCTCTTCAATCTTCAACATAATTATTGTTTGTATGCAATATGTTGAAATCCAGGTTTTAACTGTGGGGAAGCTGCTAACTTTGGAACTCCACAATGGCTTAGAGTAGCTAAGGAAGCTGCGGTTCGTAGAGCTGCAATGAACTATCTTCCCATGCTTTCCCATCAGCAACTTCTTTACTTGCTTACCATGTCTTTTATTTCAAGGTGAGCTAAGCCTGCACAACACGCCTTGTATACATTGACACTGCTCTATCGAGGTTATATGCCGCTATTTTCCTTTCAAATATTTTTTACTTACCAATTAAAAATGGTGATAGTCAATTTAAACTATTTGTGATTGGTGATTTTTTGGTTAATTACGGCATCAAGTATGTTTAATGACATGGTTTGACTAGTAGGGTAAACAGGCAAGACTATTTGTGAACCCTGCATTTTGACCTGCCTTTTAAGTTGAACTACTTATGTAAGTGTTGCGATTTCGGCAAATATACCGATCGTTTCAAGTAATAAAAGTGTGAGTAGAGTATCGTCTCACGAGGTTTAATGCACCGAATACTATTTTCGCTATTCCCTTTAATTTGGACAAATCAATTTGTGTAGAAAGAGTAATTTTGAAAGACAAAATAAAAAAAAATAATTATAATTAATAATAAATTCAGATTAAGAATAAAGATGAGTAAAGATAAATTAAGATCTTAATAACTAAACTGTAGCTAGGAATTATTTCACTTCAGATCCTCCTAGAGTTGTTTAATTTAATTTCAATATTAAATTATCTCAGATATTTTAAACAATTCATCTTCTAAAAATAGTTGGTTAAATCCTAATGTCTTAGTGACTTTAACCCTTTACTCTAGTTAGAATCCTAATGTCTTAGTAATTCCTCTTAAAATAAGCATTAGACACAATGAATTATGAAGTCTACAACTCAAGCAAACCTATGTCTAGATCATGCAAGAATTGGTATTTTACCCCTGTCGGGATTAAAACCTCAATATGTCTATTGTGATTCCTAACTCTCAAATCCTTATAAAAGTTATCAATTCATACAAGGATATAGAAATTCTTACAAGGTAAAATACAAATAACTAAAATAATTTATTAAAGAAACTAAATTAAACCACAATTAGGATTCACATCGGATCCATAATCCTAACTACAAAAGAAACTTAGCCAGACATAGCTGGCTTAAACAAAATAAAATAATAAAAATAAATAATAGAAGAAGAAGAAGAAGAATCAATGTTGCTCAATCTCCTTCAAGTTTCACTCTTTAAAAATCTCCATCTCTCGCTTTTGCCTCCTTTTCTCTCTGAATGTGCTAGCCTCCTTTGTATTTGAAAGAGTTGCCTTTTTATAGTGATGAAACTATATCTTTTAATTTTCCATAATATCCTCAATGGAATCTTCACTAGAATCTCTAATCATATCTTTAATCAAATCCTTAAAATCTTCTCTTTTATATTTAATTGAAAAACTTTCCTTAAAACTATTTAAAGGAAGATTCAATAAGATCTTCAATGATTCATAAATCCAAAGTAAATCCACTTGAGCTCTCCAATTTATCTCTTTATTGAGCTGAAAATTACTGTAAAATATAAGAATTTTTATGAGAATATTACTGAGAATAAAATAACACTTTAATTATTATTCTCATAACTTTTAATTATATTTAAATCAATTTCATGCTCATATTAATCCTTAATATATAATAAATTGGAGACTCATCAGTAAATCCTTTGCTATTACCCTCACTGCATTCAAAATAGAGATGTTTGGGGCTTTATCAACTTATGTTAAACATTAATATAAGACTGCATTGTGAGAGATATTTTAGATTAAAAATGGGATACTTATTTGGTTCAATATAGTCCTTAAAAAAAAAAAATCTGTTGGCTTTTAGATTGTATAAATCTGTCTACATTTCCTGGTTTTCTATCTTAAATATTGTTGTAACATTGACAGGCATTATTGTATAGTTCATTGTGCTTTTATCTAAGAAGTGTCAAGTGGGTAACTAATTATGTTTTCATTCCTCCTGGTGATATGTTTGATTTTATAGAGTGCCAAGAACATTATTACCTGGTGTGCGTAGTTCTCGTCTGAGAGACCGTCAGAAAGAAGAAAGAGAGTTTTTAGTAAAACAGGCTTTTATAGAAGATATGCTGCAGGAAAACAAGCTGCTATCAATTCTTCTTGGAAAGAAAGAGACTAAACAAGCGGTTTTATGGAATGCTGATTTACTACCAGATTCCAGCAAATATTGTCAATTGCCTGATTTAGCTTCTACTACTGGAACTTCTACAGCATACATGTCGAATATTAGTTCTGCAGATAAGAGTAGTCACAATCTGCTTGATGAGATGAGTTTGTATATGGAGGACATGACTGATTTATATCTTGATGGTGATGACCTTCCATGTCACTTCCAAACTGATTCAGGAGCATTGGCTTGTGTGGGTTGTGGAATCCTTGGTTTTCCGTTTATGACTGTGATACAACCATCTGAGAAATTGATAATGGATCATCTAGCTCAAGATTCCTCTCTGAACTCTGCTGCCTCCCTTCAGAGCTCAGTCTCAAGTAATGCCTTCATACTTTGTCCTATCACCTGGTTTTATTCTTTTTATCGCATTTCTTTCACCAATAAAATCTCTCCCTTACTCTTTTCGATCCAATTTCCTCTCTTAGACGCTATCTTCTCTTAAAATACCGTAACAAATATGTAGTTTTTTATTTGTTTATTTTATTTTATTTTTTGCATTATGGGGTAAAATTGAACTGGTCAACCACTGGATGTGGCAGACGTAGCAAAGTTATAATTTCTAGAGTTACTATGATGTTATTCTATAAATTCAAATATTCTAAGTTCCTAGATCAAGTAGAATATTAATATTATTGAGGAAATTGTGTTGTGGATCTCGTACAACTTGCTAAAAATTTATGTTGAACATTTGAGATAGCCCTGTACTTTGCCACGCAGATGATATTTTAAACTGCTGAAATTAGTTGCTATGTGTTAGAAATATAAAACCATTAATGTGGCTTCTCCTAACAATTTAAGCTTTTGGATTGAATTGGTTGCTTTACTTGGTATTTTGGCCTCTATGACCAAGTTTTCACGAGTTCGATCCTTGTTGCCCCCCTATTCTATTAGTAAATATTTAAAAATTGCGAAGTTTCTTAGCATAGGTAGGTAGGTGTGTGTATTATCTACCTTTCAAGTCCAATGAACTCTTGTATAAGGGGACATGTTAAAAAAATCTAAAACTATTAATGTGGTCTTCACCTAATAGTTTAAGTTTTTGAGTTGAATTGGTTGTTTTACACTGTGTGATCTATTCTTCAGGGGATCTTTCTGTTTCTGAACTTTCTTCAGCAAAGGAGTCGCCTGATCAATCAATAAAGAAGTGCAATCCTTCCAGTAAATTTTTGAGGCCAAGGATTTTCTGCCTGGAGCATGCTGTTCAGATAGTGGAGATGTTGCAGTGCAAAGGTGGAGCCAATGTGCTTATAATTTGCCATTCAGGTTTGTTTGCAGATTACAAATCTTTTTTTATTATCATTCTGTTAGAAGTCGGGTAGAATCAAATATCAAGTTGCTAGGGATGTATGACTTTCTGCTTTGTGTACCTTTCAACTTCTGTTTTGTTAGGAAAGCATTTGGCTCTTTCTTTTATATCACAATCTGACCAGAGTTTCAGCTATTTAGGGTTTAATACAGACAGATTCCATCTACACAAGTCAGCTGTTGATAATATATAATTTTTGTTATGCTTCAGTTTACATCAATTTGTTATCGGTTATAGACATGCAACTCTGGTATACTCAAGAAAAAATGACCAGAAAAGATCTATATTTCAAATATTTATTATAAAGTTTTTTTCTTACTTTTATTCATGCATTTTTGTAGACTATCAGAAAATAAAGGCACATGCTGGGGCAGTTGCAGAAGAGATACATAGTGCTTTTGGTTATAACGAGGTTCCATTAGATACTGCTTCCTCAGAAAATTTGACTCTGATAGATATGGCAATTGATGGTGAAGAACATGATGAATGTGAAGACTGGACATCTAAATTAGGCATTAACCTACGCTATTGTGTCAACTCAAGAAATATCTCTCCATCTAAACAAGTTCCTTGGACACTAGAATTAGGGATGCTGTTCTATGATAAACGTCCTGGTTCAGAATTTTCATCTTTAAATTGGCAGTCACGGAGATCTCGGTCCAAAAGGTTAAATCATTTAGCTCAGACTAAACCCTATGACAGCATTCAGAGAAAGAAGGATGATCAGTTGGAGGGAAGGACAGATGGTTCCACTACTAAAAAGAAGCTAATTCAATATTCAAGAAGGAAGTTCAAGTCAAAGCAAAGTTGTTTCTCTGTAGCAAGCATGGTCCATGAATTCCAAGAAAAGTCCAAAAATGTGTCAGCTGTCTTGAGTGGGGATCATGATGATTGTGTTTCTGAAAAAGAGCCTGACACTGAGACTTTCAGGAGTAATTGTGAATTGTCATGTGTCTCTGCTTCTACTGCAATGTCTCCTATGCATCATGAAATCCAGATTGCGGAGTTGCCCACTAGTGTGAGCTTGAACAATGCTACTTCACAACTTCCAAATTCCATTCCTGATCCTATTTTAATGATTGAAAAAATTGGGGCAGAGATTGAGAATCAAATCATGCATGAATTAGATATAGATGGAAAAAATGATTTAACACTTGATCATTCTAAGATGCATTACAATAGCAGTGTCTCAGAAGTATGTGGCATAGAGAGCCACGGTTGTCAGGACAAGAAATATTCTAGCTCACTCACAAATGCAACAGACAAAAATATTGAAATGTTTAGAAAGAATCAAGTTACAGAAGTAATTACCATTGATAGCAAATGTAATAGCTTAGGTTTAGATGATGAGGGCCATGAAGAATGTCAGTCTACCTGCAAAAGCAACAATGAGGAAACTGCTTTATCTACTGCTTCCTTGGTAAATCAACCTACTCTTGCCTCTATGGATGGAAGTTTTGAAAGTCCAAATAATAATAATGCTCCAGACAGAGTTAGCAATGCTATGTCTTTAAAAGAGACAACTGGTGAAGAAATTAATTCTTTGAATGAAAGGGACAAAGAACCTCTAAATGATGATAAACCAAGAAGTGAACATACTCCAAATGGAGAAGTTTGTGAAGTTCCAAGAGAGCTTTGTGCTGTTGCAGACTTGCATGAAACAGTAATCTTGAATGAAGAGATGCAGCAAGAAACCCGGGTTGGGAAAGGTAACAAAAGTGAAAATATTCAGCCCACTCATGTTTCAGCAAAACAATGGTGTGAATTCACAAGAGGGGAATATGCTGAGCAGTTAAATGATGAAATGATTTCAGAGTCTGTAAAGCAGTGTCAGACCCAGAATAAGAATAAAGTTAATGAGGAACCTGTTTCTAGTTATGTTGCAAAAGGTGAAAATAGAAGTTTAACTATCTCAGAATCAGGATGTTCTGATGTTTCAGTGGAAACCGGTCCTCAAGAAGACTCGAGTGTTCAAGTTATTTCACATAAAGAAAAGGAAATCGAAATCCAGCCAATTAATATAATTGAAGAGGAACTTTGCTCTGGTACTGAGACATCAGTAAAGGACTCTTCTGTATCAATGCAGGAATGTTCTGAAAATGAGGAAGAGACGTGTGTTAGAGAAGACGTGGATGGATGCGAAGTTCATTCCTCACAAGATAATAGGGAGCTGGAAAGTCGCGAGTTGAATGCAGCAGTTCCGAGATCAAATGCTGGAAAGAGAAAAAAGAGGCAAGTGGAACAGACAACAAAGAACGAATTCGATTGCTACAACTTTATTAGAAGTCCATGTGAGGGGCTGAGGCCAAGAGCTGGGAAGATTACCAGGGGCAAAAGTGAGGGGGGCATCAGTCAAAATGACAAGGAAAATCATGTAGCTAAAAGGGCGCGGAGAGCTTCTGAAGTTTTGGTTCCTCACAAGAATAAAAAAGATGATGTTAAAAAGCCCCACAGGTGTGACCTTGATGGTTGCCATATGAGTTTCATGACCAAGGCTGAGTTACGGACACACAAACGTAACCTTTGCCCACATAAAGGGTGTGGTAAGAAGTTCAGCTCCCACAAATATGCTATGCTTCACCAGCGCGTGCATGAGGATGAGAGGCCTCTTAAGTGTCCATGGAAAGGTTGTTCCATGTCATTCAAGTGGGCATGGGCAAGGACAGAGCATATAAGGGTGCATACTGGGGAGAAGCCTTATCAATGCAAGGTTGAGGGATGTGGCCTTTCTTTCAGGTTTGTATCAGATTTTAGCAGGCACAGACGGAAAACTGGGCACTATGTGAAATCTGCTGCTTGAGATACAATATTCATTTCGGTACCTCTTTATTTTTTAGTTTGTAAGGTGCACATATGCAATTAGATTCGTGAGAAGTGAGGCATAGAGTAATGTCTGACCATAAAGCATTGCTGGTTAGGTGTAAATTTAGGATAGAATGGTTGTTTTTGTAGGTGCTCAATATCCAATTTAATTGAAGGCAGTTAGAGTTGGTAAGTTTCAGAGAGTTTTGATCTTTCGGGATTATTAGACAGAAGATCTAGCAAGAGTCTGTATAGGAGGGAAAACTCTCCATTAGAGAGTGCTACATCATGTTGTTTGGTCATATCTCTGCTGGCTTACTTTTTTTGATTGCCTGTACTTATGGTTCTTTCGAAGCAGTTGATAGGTCATTGATCTTTCTGGATAGTTGTTCATTATGATTAACATCATTTGTTTTTAAGGGGGGGACAAGAAAGCTGAGAGTAAGAAACAAGGCATGTGCTCTCAATGAGATTGTATGTACTTTTTTTAATTTCATCTTGGCTAGTAAATTTAGTGGTTAATCATTCCTTAACAGTTGAGTTCACTGCATATTCTAACTTGTTGTCTACCTTTTATCCTGTGCAGTTTTCACCCTGAATGTTTCAATTAGTGTGATATACTCCCGTAGTCCCATATGAAAAGTGCTCAACAACCAGTTTTCACCCTCTATCATGTTGTTTTCTGATTCAAACCGTAAATCTAGTTAAATTTTGTTAAAATTCTAAATAATTTTTCTGGCTGCGTAGCATTATTCATAATTAAGTACGTGCAAAAGAACCAAAAAATTAAATTGAATTGTACTTAAAATAATTGATTTTTAAAAATCAGTTCATGAACCGAACTGGTTTTTAAAAAACCAGTTTAAGAATTGAACTGTTTGATTACTTTATTTTTTTAATTTCTTATTTTATTTTATTTTCAAAATAGGTTCGATCGGAACCAGTTTCAAACCGAATTGAATCCAACCATTTTCAAATTGAATCAAATTTAATTGTTTAAATCAATTCGGTTCAGTTATACAAAAAATTCAGTTTAATTCAATTTATGCACGGTCGTATTCATAATATATATGATTGTGCAACTTGTATAGTGAGGAAGACGAGTAACCACATTAAAATATTATGAACAAGCAGGGAGAGACGAGTAGCCATGTTCTTATTAGCAAGAGACAGCTCATATATGTCCCTTTCTCTATATGTAAATGATGATGTTAATGGGGAAACTCATGCTTCCTGAACAAATGTTTATTCTTTGTCTAGAAAAAGGTGAAGACCCATGCATGCAGGCGCCGAGATTATATATCTCACACTAAATCAAGAGATTACCATAATATTTTTTTGGAGTTATCCAACTCTAATTATCTCTTTGAGACGAGTTGGCTCCCTCCAGTTAGGGGTGTTCGCGGTCTGGATTGGATCGGTATTGGAAGCAAAACTCATCCGATCCAATCCTTTCGGTTTGATCATGTAATCATCCATTCGGTTTAGATTTTTTTTCAAATCCGATCCGATCCAATCTAATTTTTTTCGGTTTGGATTGGATCGGTTTTCGGTTTTTTGAATATCGTAAAATTAGTTTCATGATTATTGTGCAAATAACATCTTTTGTATATATTGGCTTTGTAAAAAAAAAAATTTTGAAATACAAAAATATCAGTAAACAATACTATAGTTAATGAGACGTGACTAGGTTTTTTTTTGGTTTAATTGATGAGTTAATGAGTCTTGGATTTAGAAATTTTTGGGCTATGGTTGGAAAAATGACCAAGTAGGTAGAGGAGAATTAATATGTCGGATCGGTTTGGATTGAATCGGTTTTCATTAATCCATTCGAAAACCGATCCAATCCAATTAAAATTTACGGTTTTTTTTCGGTTTTCGATTTTTCGGTTTATTCGGTTATCGGTTTTTCGGTTCGGTTTTCGCGGTTTGAATCGGTTGATGAACACCCCTACCTCCAGTATCCTCACGAGCTTCGACTCTTTTCTTTATGAATTTTTATATTTTTTAATAATATTACTAAATCCTAACGTTCAATTTTAAGGATACTCTCAGTTCCTCAACTAGTGTTCGTGCTAAATAAAAAAAATGTGAAATGCAAGGATGGAAGAATACCCAACACTAATTATCATAGTATGTTCCTTTATTTCGAAAATTATTTCATTGTCACATGGAAGACAGCTAGATGGAATTAATTATTCACTTAAGGCCCTATCCTACTCAACACTTCACAAGCCTCACTGCCACTGCTAGGAATTGCTCTTGCATTTTTTATTTCGTAGACTTATGCCATCATCTAAATTTACAATTTTTCTTATTAAAATAATATTTACTTAATATTTTTTGGCGGTGTACATTATAATAGTAATAATTTATAACATTTATATAATTTAGAACATAAAATATTCAACTTAAAGAAAACAATTTTTTACATAATGTTGTTTGTCTTGAAGTTTATAGATAAAGATTCCACATAATCCCATAAGGTAGTGTTTGGTTCGGGAGAAATTTTTTTTTACTATGGAAATGTAATTGATAGGAAAATGGTTGAAAAGTGAGTTTGATAGGAAAATGTAAAAAAAGTTGTTTGGTTGACCCAAATATTACCAGAGAAATTTATTTAAATATGCAAAATTTATGTTCGGGAGAAACTTTGCACTTGTTTTTTCACTTCCCCAGTCATCTCACAATACCACATCTCAAGTGGTATTCTATAACAGTGAATTTCATCCAAAAATCAACACAAAAGTCATTTTCCCATCTATCTTATTTGTCTGGTATTTCTTGAAAAAATCTGAACCAAACATGGTATTTTCCAATATTCACCTACACTTTCCCATCAATTCTAAAATAAACCTTCAACCAAACACTACCTAGATTTTTTTTTTTGCTTGCAACGACAACAATATGGAAAAGCTATGAAGGGTTGAAATCAATAATTTAAGCATAGGTGTAAAGAGTATGGTCTATATGTCTTATACAAATAGAATTAGAAGTGTATTAACAAGAGGAAGGTGGGAGTAGTAGGGGATAGGGATTAGTGGGAAGTCACGTGTGAACAACCGTCGTCGTTTATTGAAGTTTGAAGTCATACCGAGTCCAATATCCATTTGATTGATTTAGTTTATCTGTCCGTTAGCAACACGTAACAAACGAAACCGCCCAAAGAACACACAACATTGAAGGAGACAGGTGTTGAGGGGTAACCCACTCCCACAAACAATTCAAGAGAATATCACTCTTTCCATGATCCTATGGATTCTTCCAAAAAAGAAGAGAAAATGGTATTGCCCTTCCCAAGAACAAGAAGAGCACATTAGTCCTCGCTTCGATGTGCAGGTCCAAAAAAAGCACAAGCGTCATAGAACCTAAGAACAGGAACATGAACAGGAATAAGCGATCAGCAACCTTAGCAACATCTTCATCTTCCACCAGCGATGTCCCCATCACTGAATCAAGAAGCTACGTCTTCGACAATACCAACAGAAAAGAATGGTCCAAATCTTCTTCCGTTTCGAGCCGCACCTCTCTCACTAGTCTCAGAGACACTCTCCCCGAAAACCCTCACATCTACCACTTCTCCGAGATCTCTGCCGCCACTTCTAATTTCTCCGACCACCGCCTCTCCTCCTCCTCCTGTCGCTGTTCAATTCGCAACCGCGAAGTCGTCGTTTTCAAGCGCAAGTTCCGCCGCCACATGGACATGCCGGAGCTCACCCACCGCCTCGCCCTCATCTGCCGGAGCCACCACAGCAGCCTCGTCAAACTCCTCGGAGCCTCCGTCTCCGGCAACTACATTTACCTCGTGTACGAGTTCATCCCCGGCGCTAGCCTCGCCGATTGCCTTCGTAATCGCCTGAACCCTAGCTTCACCGATCTCAACAATTGGATCTCGAGGATGCAGATCGCCGCCGATCTCGCTCACGGCCTCGATTACATTCACAATTCCTCGGGTTCCGATTCGGGTTTCGTCCACAACCACATCAAGAGCTCCAGCATCGTCGTCGCCGAGGAGAATTTGGGCGCCAAAATCTGCCACTTCGGCACGTCGGAGCTCTGCGGCGAGGCCGTCGAGGTTGCCGGGAACCCGTCCGGATCGGATTCCGGCGGGGGATTGAGGAGGTCCGGTAGCCGGACGGTGAAGTTCGAGGGGACGAGGGGGTACATGGCGCCGGAATTTCAGTTCACCGGCGTGGCGACGCAGAAGAGCGATGTGTACGCTTTCGGAGTTGTGGTTTTGGAGCTTCTGAGCGGGGAAGAAGCGTTGAAGTTCGAATTTGACGGCGACGGCGGTGACGGAGGATACAGGAGGGTGAGCGTGGTGGATACGGCGAGGGCCGCGGCGGAGGAATACGGAGGCGCGAGGAAGTGGGTGGATAAGAGGCTGAGGGATTCGTTTCCGGTGGAGGTGGCTGAGAGGATGATTCGGGTCGGGTTGGAGTGTGTTAGGGATGACCCGAATGAGAGGCCGGATATGGGTCGGATCTCGAATGAGGTGTCGAGGTTGTACTTGGAATCGAAGAAGTGGACAGAGAAAATGGGAACTAACATTGACTTTTCGGTCTCCTTGGCCCCCAGGTGACCCAAGCTTTTGCTGATTCAGGTTTTCCTATTTTTCCTTCTAATCTCCATTTTTTTTTTAAATTCTAATCAAAATTTGATTTTTTAAAAGATGATTGTAGGAATGAGAGATTGATGATGTATACTTGTTTATAATTTTATAAAAATGTGTAAGATTTTGTAAGCAAACATGCAGATTTTGTACGCCAACATGCAGATTTAAAAAAGAAGATGAAGAAGAAAATCTTGGTGCCACTGAAATTTCCGCTTTGATATCAATTTGGTTAATATAAAAGAAAGGGTCAGATTAGAAAAACTCACCAATTTTATAAATGTTTGTGTTATGCTGAATTTAGATAGGGTGCTATTGGGGACGGTGGTCTTGAAAATGGGTCCATAATGTATTTTATATTATATTTTATATGTAAGACATAGTATAAAATTTTAAGACATAGTATAAAATAAAAAAATTATTATTTTTTCCGATACAACAGGGCACATTTCTATTGGTATGATGTAACTACTACGGTGGAATTGAAAATTTTTCCTTTGGGGACACTAAAATTAATAATTAAGCAAACATCACACATTACATAGTATTCATTGCCAAATTTTTTTACCGTCAGGCAGCCGTCAACAAGTTTGGGTCAATGTGAGTTATCGTTCTTATTTTGATAATTTTTAGTCAAGACCAGTAAGTCATCGTTAATGATTTCGGCTGATATTAATCTATGCTTAGTGTTTTCGGCGGACATTAGTTTATTCAAATGATATAATAAAATTAAGAAAAATCACAACATAAAATAAAAATAAAAAAATCACATTTTATTTAATTATTCAAGTAGAATAAGTATTAAATAAAAAATACAGTTAACTATTACTCCTTTGTTGTTTCAATATTATTACTTGAAAAATAATACTACACAAATAATATTATAATAAATTTTACATTATTTTATCAATAGATATCACAAAATATTTAATTATATGACGGGTCCTCAGCTATAAACTCGTAGAAGTCATCAATTTCCTCTTCTACTTCTGAAATACCAGCAAGAAATATTAATTCAATCGAGAAAAATTATACATAGAAACATCTATAATTGAAATTTTTAAATGCATATTTATCTTGGAACATTGGGATTGTCAAAGTTAAGGTGCTATTACCATTGTTTGCCACAGCATTTGGAAAGAGTGGTAAAGTATCAAAAACATATTTTTGTCCAAAATCTGCAGCCTGTTGTAATATAAAATGAAAGTAAACAGAAATTCAAGTAAGCAACCATGCTAATGCATCAGTAAAATACGGAATTCATTGTTTACCGAAAAAAATTGTGGAATTCATTATTCATTAAAGCGCAACAAAAATTAGCTGCAACACATATTGTAACAGTCCAAAAAAAAAAATACTGTTTACCAAAAAAAAAAAAACGCCTGTGGCGCAGGGAGAACGCTACACGCGTCAAACATATATATAAAAAGGGTAGGCTAGTAGCGTTCTGGAAATTATATACATATATATATAATATAAAAATAATCAAATAATATGTTATCAAAAAAAAAAAAATTAATCAAATAATATATATATATAATATAATAATAATCAAATAATTAATAAAATATTAAAGTAATATAATAATAAATATATATATATAGATAAATAAATAAATATTGTATATAAATAAAATGAATAAATAGATATCAAATATTAAAATGATAAATATATAAATAGATTAACAATCACTTGGCAGAGAAAGAGGGACTATGTGGAGGCAGAGTCACATGGTAAATTTTTTAGATAAGTTTGAATTAGATATTTAGTTAAGATCTTATCTATATGCAATAATTACTTAATCAGATTTTTATAAATCACTTAGAAAATAATGATTTGAAGAAAGAAAGGGAAGAGAGAAGAAATAAATGAACTGAGGAAAGAATGGAAAAGTGAGGAAAGAAATAGAGATGGAGAAAGCACGTAATAGTGAGGGTGAGAGGAAAGGAAAAATCGAGAGAAAGAAAAGACGAGGAGGGAAAATAAAAGAGAAAAGATAATATTGAGTGTAAAACTTATTCTATTATGTTTTTTTTTATATTTAAAGTTGGTATATTAAAATTATTTATTTAAAAGTTGAGAAAGTGTCGTTACTCTGTCTAAATATTTCCTTATGAATTTATTCTATTATTTTAAATTTATTTTCTATTTTTAATTTATGAATTTGATGAATTTATTCATATTAATTATGAGAATAATTTTGAGTCAAGATTATAGAATTAAAGAATTCCTTTGGTACCAAGTGGATATTAATGAAATATATAGTCTTTTACTGAATGATTATGATGTGACTGACCTACAAAGGGATCAGAATAATTATAGGGTAAAAGACGTCTTATCATGGCTTGAACTCCGCTATACAGAACCCAATAGAATTTGGGCGCTTACATAATTGAGTTTTAGTCACTTTAGTTGAAGATTACATGTTCATTTATATGTATCCAAAAGCCCACAAATGTTTGGGTATGTTTTATGAAGAAACCACAAAGGATTGAGTATATTTGTAAGAAGAATCCACAAAGGTCTAGGCTTATATTTATTAATTATGTTATATTTTTCTTATTATAACATATTTAAGAGAATGATATTTTCTACTAAAGTAGCTAGATTAGTTATAGTTCGAAAACTCCAATATTATTGAGATTTTTTTCACGTGTTTATTTGTTTTATTCTAATCTTTCCAGAAAGTAAGCATGTTGATATGTGTAGCTTTGGAGTATGATGAAACACTATGGATAAAGGCCTTGAAGATTGTCCGAAGTTTCTATGAAGTGATTGATAAAGAAGAATTTTTTTTTTTTTCAGTTGGATGATTGTGTAAATTAGTCTTTCTCAAATGTAATAATGAAATCGACTTCTGTTTCATTTATGCTTAAATTTTGAGAGTATTTATTTTATATCCACCGTGTTAGAATTTTATACTCATTAATTTAAAATAAGATTTAAGAATTTATGTGACATCCTCTATATTAATCAGTAATATAAGATGTTACATTTTTACAATAAAATCTACTTACTCTTATGTGAATATAAATGAAAAAAATATGCTACAAAAGCATAAATATCAAGGGAAAAATGTTTCTGCAGTTAATGCAGATAAGTTATCTGCATTTATTTCTAAAACGACGTCGTTTTGGTATTGAAATCTTAAAAAATTATAAATATAAAGACTATTATAACTCTGAAATAAATTAAAATTAAAAAAATACCATAATTTTTGTCACAAAATAACATCGTATTAGACTTACTGCAGATAATTTATCTGGAGTAACAAGAAAAAGCGAACCAAAATATTAAACTCAAAGACTTATTACAATTATTCCGTTTGTTTAACATCAATATAACCGTGCTGGCAACAAAAAGTGAGTCTGTACAGTAACTCATCAGTCATCACGCTTGTAAATTTTTTGGTAAGTAAAATATAAATTTTTTGGTAAGTAAAATATAAATTTTTTGGTAAGTAAAATATAATTTTTTTTTTTTAAAAAATTCTGTTAACGAAATTATTCTAAATATTGTAACTATAATTTTTTTAAAATTATGTGTATATTTATATTTACATTTTAAGAATAATGTTACTTTATTATTCACTAAAATTAATTTTTTTTGGTAAACCTTCTAAATTTATTTTTAGAAATATTATTTTCAAATATGAGTTTAGTAATTTAAAATTAATATTATTAATAGCTAAATCAAACTTATCCTTAAAAAAGAACCACGCAGCGAGTGCAATTTATAAATATAAAGGTTTTACTTTTTAAATTCTTACAATTATATTTTGAAGAAAATATTTGTTCTTTTAGAGGATCGTCATTTTAGTTAAAATTAAAAAAAAAAACAAATCACTCACTTTCTTTCCATTTTTATTGTGTATCTCTTCTCTCATGACACAATTATATGTTCTTTAAAAGGACAAACATCAAATTTTTATATCTTATAATCAAAAGGATAAGATATTGTTACTATCAAATAATGTTATTACCAATGTCACTCCTATATCTTAACCGTTGATTTTCGTCAATCAACACTTATCATTTATTGTGAATTTATAATTAATTAATTAATTTGATTTATGAAAGTAATAATCGTTGATCGTAAGAAATCAACAGTTAAGATATAGTAGTAACATTATTTTATCCCATAATTGAAATAATACAAATTTATGGTTGAGATTTTGTCGGTTGCTTGAAAACAACAAACAACTCAAATCCATCTCAATCTGTAACTAATAACTAAAAAATAAAACAAATGATTTACAAAGAGCAATTTTAATTGGTTGTTATTTGAAAATGGGTTTTGTAATTCTCATTTAACATGAGAATTACAATTTTCCTACACACCCTTCGATTTCCGTGCTGACATGGGTCCTACATATAATTTTTTCTAACACATAGGTCACACATATTTTTTATCTCTACAACATAAGATTTCAATTCTCCTTCAACATGAGAATTATAAAACCCTTTGAAAATATGGTATTATAATATGATATCCTACAAGATACATGACCAAGCGGCATCTGTACTACATATGTATTCAGTATTTAAAGCCCATTTGCTTGGGTTTTTGCTCAATGTGATTACAACAGAGTGTTTGATACTTGTGATTTGTACCATTTGATTGCATTTGATATTGCTTATATTTTTACATACTTATAATATTCTATTTCCACTACGATTATGAATGCGTGAAGATATGACTCTTCCTAATGTGCACCGATTATTTTTCCTCTTGTCATAATTATATCGGCGGGTAGACCAATGTTATAAAAATCTAATCGACTACTAATTATGTTTACTTTGATTGCAAAAATAGGTGTGAATGAGTGATTTAATCTTACAATGAAAATTAGAATTAAACTACTATAGATCAGTCAAAGCAAGTTAAAATAAATCAAAAGCCAATTGATTCCTAATTTAATGGATTGAACCAAAGGACTAGCTATTATTTATTTTATTTTATTTTTAAAAAAAAAAAGAATTCTTTTAAATTTTATATAATTAAATGTGACTTATTTTTATGACATCATTTAATCTGGCATGCACATGGGCCCCAAATACAAACTCAATGCATGAAAGCCCAACATTGATCGCGTAGAAATGGAAAAGAAGCCGAAGAACTCAACCAGAGTTAGGGTTGGGAATAGGAGTTGAGGAGCATTCATGGCGGCGAGGATGTTGCAGAGGCGATTCTTCTCAATCTTTTCAAGGAATCTTCATCTTCACACTACCATCGCTCAAGGCATCTCCTCTCATTCTTTATTTTTGTTCCTTTTTTCTGTCGTAGATTTTTTGTGTAACAACCTTCTTCTTTATTTATTGTGTGTGTTTATTTATTGGGAACCTTCATCGCTTGATGTGCATAAGGTTTTCCTTTTATTAATATGTTAATGTTGTTGATTATTGGCAGCATCGTCTTTGCATTCTTTTACCAGTACCAGTAGTGCAATATTAATTAAACAGAGATGTGGATTTCATAAAATGGGGTTCTGGACATATGCAAATAATCCACTTGATGATAACTCTGCTGAATTCGGTTCGGACACATCCCCAAGGCCTGGTGATCTTACTATGGATTTCACTTGCAGGGACTGCGAAACGAGATGGATTAGGATATTTCGTCCCGATGCATATGAGAAAGGTGTAGTGGTGGCAAGATGTGGAGGGTGTAATAAGCTACACGTGATTGTAGATAATTTTGGGATTTTTGATGAACCGGGAACCTTGGAGGACTTACAGGCTGAGTTTGGTGAAAAAATGAAGAAAGATGGACTTGGTACTCTGAATTTCACCCCCATAGAAGAAGAAGAAGAAGAATAGCTGGAAGAAAATCTTTAACAAGGGTTCAAACCTTTTCGCATTAATTGAAGGTTTGTGAACTCTTTTAACAGTACTAATTCTGTCTCTTGATGAGTCTCGTTTAGGAGGATTTCTGACTATCCTATTTACAAAGAGCAATTTTAATTTGTAGTTATTAGAAATTATGGTATTAGAATATGATGCATTACATGTGATACATGACCACGCGGCAACTGCCTATATATATATATATATATATATATACAGCCCATTTTCCTTGAGTTTTTGCTCAATGTGATGATACAACATAGTGTTTGATATATAATATTTCTGTGGTTGTGATTTAAAAAGGAAACAAAGACCTCCTTCTGTCAAACGTCCCTTCCCATTAGCCATGATCTTAACCAAATAGGCTATTAGATGATATCTTAATTTGTTGAATACCTAACTCTTGAATTAATTTTTGACTTAGTGGAAAATTAGTTAAAGACTATTATGATGTAAAATATTAACTAGTAAACAAATTTTTAATCAAAGTAATAGTTTTCGTGCTCAATTTGTACCCTTTTTTTTTTTGGATAAACCATGGAATTTTACTGTAAGTAATCTTGTTCAAAACGGATCTAGAATTAAGGCTTTAAGTTTTTCTTTTTTTCTTTTTTGGAGGTTACAAGGAATTGAACACAACACCCTACACTACACACACTCCTAACACACACACCCCACACCACTAGGCTAACCTTAAAAAAATAATACTACTTACTTATATTTTAATTCCACTACGATTATGAATGTGTGAAGATACGCCTCTTCCTAATCTGCACCGAGTATTTTTCTTCTTGTCATAATTATACCGGCCGCTAGCCCAATGGTATAAAAATCTAACCGGACACCTAATTATGTTTACTTTGATTACAAATAGGTGTGATTTAGTGTCAAAAAAGTAATTTTCAATCATATTGCTTCATTATTATACTCATAATCATCTAATCCATCTTTTCACCATGTAAGACTATCACCTTATTCTGCCATGCAAACATAGAATAATCAGCATAATCATGCAACACTTTGCCTAACCCACCAACCATGCTAAGCCCAATATAATACTAAGGTTAGAAAATTCAATCACACATAAATCTACAACAGAAGCATGACACTGTATATTTAGTTTGACATTTTTTAACTTCTTTTCTCCGTAGAAGTTAAGTTAAACAGGTTTTTACAAAAACTCTTACAATAAAAAGAACTTTTTTTTATAACGAAGAAAAAAATCAAAAGCCAAAAGCTTTTAAGAGGAATTATTTTTTATGTTGTATCAGTTTTTTTTTTTTTTTTTTAAATAAACAACTTTTAAGTAACTTTTGAATTAAAAATTCTATATAATAGTTTTTAACTCAAAAGCTTAAGTTGTTGAGTGATGTTACATTAACAATTTTTTATATTTCTCTAACACGCCCCCTCACAAGAGAGTCCATTAGACTTGAAAAGTGAATGATGCATCAGGTCCAATTTACCTGTACTACAAAATTCCATAAAAATGGTAGGCGGCGAGAATCAAACACGGGACACCGAAGCTTTGATACCATGAAAATAATCGATTCAATCCAAAAGCTTAAGCTGTTGAGTGAGGCTGCATTAATGATTTTTTGTATATCTCTAACAAGCTTTATTTTTAAACTTCTTTATTTAATTTTAGCTTAAAAGTAGCTTTCAGCTTAAAAAAGAGAGAGATACCAAACATGCTCTTAATCTTACAATGAAAATTACAACTAAACTATTATAGATCAGTCAAAGCAAGTTAAAATCAATCAAAAGCCAAATGATTGCGTAGTTTAATGGATTGAACCAAAGCACTTCTTTTTAAATTTTATAAATGTTTTCAGCTTTATTAATCTCATGTTGTAAGAGAGTAATTCTCATGTACCATAGATACAATTATGAGTGAGATTCAGTCATTTATAAAAAATAAAAATTAAGCAACACGAAAATTGATGAGTATGTAAGAAAGAGAACTATCTTCCAACAACATGAGAGTAGTTTTCTCATAGTTTATATCATTAAAATTCATTCAGCTAGAACCAAAATTTTCAATGGTTTCATTTCAGCTGTGCATGATATTGTTTTCATTTTTTCTTTTTTATTACGGGAAACAGAAATTGTTAGAAACAATATTTAATAAAATCGAATTTATTTATTTTATTTAAGAAAAATGAACTGATAATCCAAGAACTCATATTGATAGAAATAAGAAAATAATAATTGCATAAACAAACGTTGCTCCATATTAGTTTTTTTATTTGTAGAAGTACAAAATGCAACTAGCCATATGGGCCCCAAATACAAACTCCAGTGCATGAAAGCCCAACAAGCCCAGCATTGATCTCGTAGAAAACGAAAAGAAGCCCAAGAACTCAACCAGAGTTGGGGTTGAGGAGCAGTCAGTCATGGCGGCAAGGATGTTGCAGAGGCGATTCTTCTTCTCAATCTTTTCAAGGCATCCTCATCATCACACTACCATCACTCAAGGCATCTCCTCTCATTCTTTACTCTCTCTTTTTCGTTTTTCTGTTGAAGTTTTTTACTCTTAACTAATTACCCTTTTCATTCATGATTTTTACTCTCTCTTTTTGTTTATTTTAATTTTATAATTTTTCTTTTAGTGTGTGTATTTATTTATTGGACTTTACATTTCTCATTTGACGTGAGGTTACAAAAGTTCCTACACACATATAATTTAAATGAGTCCCACCATAAACAAAAAACAAAAAATAAAAAAATTATTGCACGCAAGTAACATGAGAATACAATTCTCCAATTAAAGGAGAAATAGTTTTCCCTTATTTATTTATCTATTTATTTTAGCATTACAAAATTTGGAACATAATTTACATTTTTTTTTTTGGAAACCTAAACAAGTTATGCTGAGGTGATGTTTTTGTTATTAATATGTTAATGTTGTTGTTCATTGGCAGCATCCTCTTTGCATTCTTATACCAGTACCAGTGCAATATTAAGCAGATATGGATTTCACAAAAGGGGGTTCTCGACAGATGCAAATCCAATTAAACATGTTTGTAAAGATGTAGAAAAGAATGAAGCTGAAAATGTTCCTACATCCATGAGCATTGATGAGAACTCTGCTGTGAAGTTTTCTGCTAAGTCCAATTTGAAAACATCGTCAAGGCATGATCTTGCTATGATTTTCACCTGCAAGGTCTGTGAAACGAGATCCATTAAGACAGTTTGTCGCGAATCATATGAGAAAGGTGTAGTGGTGGCAAGATGTGGAGGTTGTAATAATATACACTTGATTGCAGATCATCTTGGGTGGTTTGGCGAACCGGGAAGCATTGAGGACTTCCTGGCTGCTCGTGGTGAAGAAGTGAAAAGAGGTTCAATTGATACACTGAATCTCACCCTCGAAGATATAGCTGGAAGAAAATCTTGAAGAAGTGTACAATTTGGCCAAATATATAGGCTTGTTAACTCAACTTTTCTGTCTCTTGATTACCCGGTAATAAAAAGTGATATATTTAATGTAACCTTTTATGATTATCAATTATTTTTTGTGCCTACTGAAGGAATGATTTTGAGATCTTGCATAAACAGTATCCACAGAGGAATAGTAAGTTGGGAAGTGAGGAGCAAGAGGAAACAACTTAGGTTAATAGTTGTGTAAAATGTCTCTACTTTTATCAATTAACCAGTTTTTTTGCACACCCCCAGTTTTCTTGGATCATTATTTCACCTTCCTATTGTTTTGTTACTCTGTGTGCTCTCAAGGGAGAATGCTGACCCCAGATCAGATTCTACAATGGTGGTGGAAGTCTGGTGTATTGAGCTCTTAATTGTTATCTAATGTATTCTGTGTCTTTGAGCAGAATTGTGTAACTCGTCTGTGCACGTATTTCAGTAGCTCTAGTTTAAATTCTTGATAGTTTGTTTGCTTTTAATTGAGTAAGCGAGAGAGAATTGTTTGTGATACTCATAAATTTGTCTATAATGGCATTAGCGTGGTAAAGCCTCAAACATTTGCAGCGGATATGTAACTTAAGTTGTTGCTGTCTTATTTATTGTCTTTGATAAACAACAACCGTGGCTCTGCCGGCTTGGCTACAACCGCAACATTGTTTCTATCCATTTTTTCTCACATTTCGGGCACTGTACTATTTTTGGAAAATAAGCAATTATTGTTATCTTGTTTAAATATTGTCAAGGAGCTTCGGTCATTCTTCTGTCGATTTAGGAGTCAACAAAGCTGGCTGATTTATGAGCACTTTTCACTTTTGTATTTTTTTGTTCCAAGAGGGGGGAACAAACAACAGAAAAGAAAATTTAACTAGCTGGGACTTCCATCCTCCAAGCCAAGGGGAACTTCAACTATGGAAGCAAAGCCATATTTGCACTTAGCAACAGGTTTTTTATTTCCCCAACGGAGTGGAATAGAGTAGATCCTTTCATGTTAAAGTTTTACATGACCTGAAATTTTGTATGATCAAGTTATGTGAAATTTTAACATGAGATGATTCTTTCCCCAACCAAAGAGTCGCCATCCCATGAAAGAAAATCCAGAAAGAGAATTACCGTTTCCAATACTACAACCTTGCATAGGCAAATTGCCAAGAAAAAAGGTCGTTGAGAACTGAGACCCAGGAGAGAACGCGTGTCGAAGTAACGGGAGATAGTAATGGGTTGGATATTTTTTGTTTTTTCTTTATTACCTCTTTTCTTTTATAAAAGAGGTTGGATATTATTATTATCAATTTTTTCTACTATCATTCTAATGACCATTGGATTAAAGAAAAAGTTAAATAAAGAAAGAGAAAAGGAAAATAACTTTTGAATCCAATGGTAATTAGAGTGATAATAGAAAAAAATTTATAGTAAGAATATTTTACCTCTTATTGTAATTATGTTCAATCTTTCATTTCCTAAAATAATATTTTTATAAAGAGGTAGGATATTTTTACTATTATTTTTTTTATCACCACTCTGATCAGCATTGAATTCAAAAGTTATTTTTTTTTATCTTTCTTTATTCAACTTTTCCTCTAATCAAGTTTTATGATTATCATTGGCTTATAAAAAATTTGTTTGTGGAAAGGATACTTGTTTTGAGATAAAGTTTAGCTGTTTCTAAAAAGAAGAAAGAGAGAAAGAAAGTTTAGCAAACGAGAAGGCATCTATTCTGAAGTCAGGACATTGTCCATATAAACCTCGAGAAATACTTGCAACAAAATTAACCTTTATGTTGTTAACTTGTTATAAAAGACTTGAGTAATGTCTATGATTTCTATCGAAGTGTTTGAAATGGCAGAGGGCTCATTTTGCTGCATTAAAAGTGAAGAGGAGATATTAAAGTACTCATTTTTTAATTATTTTAATAAATTGTCCAATATTTATTGGTTGCTTATTATATTTTATATATTTTGAACATTTATTGTATTAATTAATCTTAGATTAGCGAATAATTACTTATTAAAAATCTTAAAGAATTTATAGTTAAATTAAAAAAATTCATTATGCAATCATATGAGTTACCTTAAAAGGGATGATTATACTTATCACTATTTTAGATTTGGGGAAGAATATTATAACAATCAAGTTGTGTTACTACCATATTACTACCAATCAATCTCACCGTTAGATTGATTATGTTGATCCAACGGTTATATTTATTTCTATCTTTGTATGGTCATGATTTTTTAAATTTAATATTTTATATTTATTTTCACCTTTGTATGATTATGATTTTTCATATTTAATGCTTTCACTTTAAATATGGGAAATCATAACCATACAAAGATGAAAATAAATATAACTGTTGGATCAACATAATCGATCTAATGATGAGATTGATTGATAGTAACATGGTAATAACTCAACTTAATTATTACAATATCCTTTCCCCGTTAGATTTACTAATTACCACCCTCATTATGTTAGATCAGATTTAAAATGACTTATAACGTGTCTTGATTTTACAATGAGTATTTCATTTCATCCCCTAATTTTTTTATGTATTTGAAGAAATTATCAGTAATTTAAAATTATTATATACTCTACCAAAACATCTTAAAATTCACATATAATATATTTTTTTAAAAATATTGAGTATTTGATCACAAATGTTATAATTTTTAAAAATTTAGAACGTAAAATCCACATAATAATTAGTTATTATTAAATAATCAAATCAAATGTTGGAAGTGGGAGCCTGCTGTTTGTGTTATGTTATCTTCCAAGTTCCAATAATATTACTGGTTTTTCTTTTCTTTTGCCAGCACTGGATTTCTGTCAAACACATCAAATGTAATAACCAAAAAAATAAAAAAAAAAGTAATTACTGGTAATTAATTAATTAATTTTTGATTGAAAAAAAGGAACACCTCGTGGCGGTGTGAGAGGGGGAGAAAAGCAAACAAAAACGGAAGTGGGTAGGAGTAGGATTGCGAGAATCCAACGAGAATGGCATGTAACTCTGTTATTTCATCTTCTCTTCACATAACAAGTTCAATGGCCATTAAGGGTGTCCTCTCCTTCACTCCCACCCCACTTCCTCTCCTTCATCTCCCCAAAGCCTTCACCTTTCTTTCATTTTCTGCTTCCGCTAAACCCCCCACTAAGTCATTTCAAGGTTTTCTCACTTTTCTAATTAATATTTCGTTTAAAAATGTAATTTTTTTTATTTGGGTTTTTTTGATTCAGTTATCTGTTTTGCTTCATGTGTTTATACTAGTGGAATTGTCACTTGCTGCTGTTTTGTGCAGTAAATTGAATGAGCCCAACCCAGTAATATTATTCTGTTCATTTATGCCCTTAAATTGATGTGTTGTCCTTTTTATTCATCTAGCTAAGGAGTGTTCGTATTGGGGTGTTTGAGGTGAAAAGAAGAGAAGGTAACAAGTTATTTGAAATTGGTATAGAAAGAGATATAGAATGGGAAAAAAAGGTAAGTAAAGGAATGAGGAGATGTTAGTTATTTTTCTAATCATTTTTTGTGCAGGAATCTCATTTCTCTTTCTTTTTAATTAAATGGGTAGGTTCAGTATTTTTTACATAACTAGTGTAGATTCGACCATAATTTGGGTCTTATTGTTACCGTCTGATTGATGTTGCAGTTTAGCTATTCCATTGTTTCTTTGGAAATATAAACTGTGGTTTTTCTTTAAGTTTGAGATTGATTCATGTTTTAATGCGTGCTTAAAGGTAAGATCCTCAGAAAGAGAGTGTTTTGCTCAGGAAATTTGTGCTTTTGAGAAACTTAGTGAGTATTTGCTGACAAATATTACCTTCCTTTATTGTCAGTGAGATCAGTGGCTGCTCCTGCTGAAGCTGTAGCAGGGTTTGATGACATGGTTTCTGGGACTCAGAGGAAGTATTACATGCTAGGTGGGAAAGGTGGGGTAGGGAAGACAAGTTGTGCTGCTTCTCTCGCTGTTAAATTTGCCAATAATGGACACCCCACTCTTGTGGTTTCCACTGATCCAGCACATTCTTTGAGTGATTCTTTTGCTCAGGTTAATTACTTCTCTTCTAGTTCTGAACTTCTGATGATGCTTATGTCCTAGCTGCTTCAAGATCCGGTTGTATGTGTGCTCTGACTAACACAAGTTTTGCCAATTTTGCTCTAGGATTTGACAGGGGGGGCATTGGTGCCAGTGGAAGGACCTGATTTTCCGCTTTTTGCTCTTGAAGTAAGCTGGCATTTCTGGAGAATACATTAACTGATATTCATTATTTCATTATCCGGTTTACTTGATGACATGATTGGTATTTTTGTAAGAATATGTGTGTACCATTTGATGTGACACCATTCCTCTCTTATGTCTTTGCTCAAGTTTGTTGTTCCTTACTCCCTTTACAGATAAACCCCGAGAAGTCTAAGGAAGAGTTTCGAAATGCAACCAAAACAAATGGTGGAAGTGGAGTCAAAGACTTCATGGATGGCATGGGTCTTGGAATGATTGTAGAACAGGTAAAGCTTTATTGAGATGTTATGAGCATTATTGGTTATGTATTTCTTCCAAGGGTATATCTATTGCTTTGAAATTTCACAGATGATGAAATTTTCTTAAAATCACAAGTTTTCTACCAGGAATTATAGTTCTATATGCCATCAACTTGCCATGATATTGGCATATCATCTTTGATATTTAAACTCCTCTTAGATAGCCAGATTAACTTTGAAGAATTGATTAAGTTAGACTTTAAGAACTAGAGCATAAAAGAAAAAAAAAAGTTGTCTCGCACTCTGGGTTAGGATCCAATAACAGAATTGTAAATCGAAATCAATCTGGACACCAATGATAGCTTCTGTTAGAATGAATATTTAACAAATTCCACTGCTGGATTGAAGAAAGTATGCATTATGCATATCATGCTCATGAAGTTTCACATCGACCCAAGTTTGTTTTCTACTTCATTAATGTTAAAACTAGCTAACAAATAATATGCTTATCGAATAAATGATAATATTTACCACTCAATTGCATAACTGGAGCTGTTTAAATTTTATGAGATTTTTTATGCAAGATCAACATTATAAATAGGAAATACTGGAAGATAATTGGTTCTGCTTGATTATAAGCCTGCTTCTCTAAGATGGTTTGTTGTATCTTTTGGTTGCAAAAAGTTGGGAGAGCTAAAGCTGGGAGAGTTATTGGATACACCTCCTCCTGGACTGGACGAAGCTATTGCAATTTCCAAGGCATGCATTTTTATGTGCTATGAATATTTTTTCATTGCTAATTTTTCATGTAACAAACCCTTTTGCTCTCCTAACAATTAATAGCCTCTTGTCAGGTTATGCAATTTCTTGAATCACAGGAATATAGCATGTTTACTCGAATAGTATTTGATACGGCTCCTACGGTGAGTAAAAAGCTAATAGTTATATATTCCACATCTCATTTGATTTTTGACATTATCTGATAGTATTTACGCATTTTCTTGAACAGGGTCATACATTGCGATTGCTTTCCTTGCCTGATTTTTTGGATGCGTCCATCGGGAAGATACTGAAGGTATGACTGCTAATTTTAATAGAGGAAAATCCACACACACACACACACGTATATATTCATTACCTGAAATGCAATTGATTCACTTCCTTTAGCAGCCAACGGATAAAATGCTGTATTAATACCTTGCGCTATGCCTGAGATCTTGTTTCAAATAAAATGATTATGTTCCTAGAGCTCTAAGCATCGGATGGAAATTTCTCAGACATTCATTCAGCCAGTCTTGTATTGATAGTTTACCTGTGAAGATGTCTTTATCAAATTGTGTTAGGAAATTTTTACAATTCTATTTTTGCCTCCATACTCAATTGTTCTCCCTTGTCCTGCCTAACTCATGTCTATTCAACCCATTATTTAAAGTCTAAATCTCTATATATTCTTCTAATTAATGATTTAAATCTGATATCTTTATAATTAACATTACATCTATCAAGAGGCAGAAAGAATAAATTGTTGACACTAGTCTATTGACAATTCTCTCTTCCCTCTCCCCTGTGCAAGCGTTCTGCAAAAATACTTAATTCATGGTGAGATTTCATCAAATGTTACTGATAGTTGATATTTCCTATTCTTGCAATGCTTCACTCATTTTTAATCATATTTAATCTTCCTTCTTCTAAGTGAAAATTGGGACAGTATTAGAGCACATCTGGACTTTCTCTTCCCCCCATCCCCAACACTTTCTACTTGCAAGTTCCAATATCTAAGTGATACTTATAGTCATTGATTTTATTATTCTGCTGCAGCTAAGACAAAAGATAGCTTCTGCTACATCAGCAATTAAATCCGTGTTTGGGCAGGAAGTAACTAAACAGGATGCTGTAAGATTGATGCCATTGGGCTAGTGTTGCATTTAGTTACATCTTAATATGCTTACCATTTGTTATATCCTGATGGTGCAGGCTGACAAATTGGAGAAACTTAGGGAGAGGATGATAAAAGTGCGTGAGCTCTTTCGTGATACAGAATCAACAGAATTTGTCATTGTAACAATTCCCACGGTATGACCTAGAGATGTGTTCCACAACGCACTAATCTTCGAATAACTGATGCATATAATGGTGGATTGATTTATAATGTAGTGTCATCAATACTACCAAGAATGATTGAAGGCCTTTAGCTTTCAGGTATAAACCGAGAGAGTGGGGTGGAGGGGCTGGGAATGAGCTAAAACTGTTTGGTAGCTAGTATGGAAAGGAAGTGGTCATTTCATAGGGAATACCAATTCCCTCAAATTTGAGGGAACTACCCTTCCATTCCATGAATGATTTATTCAATTACTTTTATATCATGTGTCTTTCTTTGAAATTATTAAGTCCCATTCACACTGCCCATCGTCTTCACCTCCTACCATCCACATCTAGCACTCCAGGGGGGTTAATTAAGTTTTCCCTATTTAAAAAATTGAAATTCCAAGGGCAAGGAATAAGCTCTGGGGTTAAGTACAAACGGAATAAGATTTTCAGGGGAATCAAAAATTTTGAAATGACATCGTGATGAAATGAAACCAGGCTAAATTATAGGGTTTGAGTTTTTACTTTTTTGTTTTGACAAGAAGAAAAGATGCAAAAAGCAAAAAGTAAATAAAAAATAAAAATAAAAGAAAGAAGTACACTGAGCTGGGTGTTTGGAGGAACTGATCTTATTGCCAGATCTACTTTCACAATAAGAATCTACTAAATCTTTTATCCAAAAAGAAAGGGAATCTGCTAAATCAATTTGGTTTTTGACATCACGCATTATCTTGTAGCCAACCCCACTTCGTTTGATTCTTGTTGTTGTAGTTTACTAAATGAAGATTAGATAACTTAATTATCTAGTTCTCAAACTTCATATTCCTTGTATTGGAAAGAGAGAACTGTCTATGTAATCAGTTATATTTGTATCTTTTACTCCCTAAGGTGATGGCAGTTAGCGAGTCATCTAGATTGAGTGCTTCCTTGAAGAAGGAAAATGTTCCTGTGAATAGACTTATTGTCAATCAGATTCTTCCACCATCTGCGTCTGATTGCAAGTTCTGTGCCATGAAAAGAAAGGTACCTTAACTGTTTGCTCTTTTATTTTTGCACGGGTTTAATTTGGAATGATGAACTATGTAATGTAATTCGATTAATAACAATATTGCTATAAATGAGACAACTGATAGCTGAGCATATCCAACAAAAACTTTTTCAGAGAAGGGGGAGAAAAACTCTTGCATTCGCTGTTTATTTTTGTTTTAAGAGTTAATTTTTTTTGTAAACAAACTTTTCAGGATCAGATGCGTGCTCTTGATATAATCCAAAACGATCCAGAACTCTCCAGCTTAGTGATGATCCAGGCACCACTTGTTGATGTCGAGATAAGAGGTGTTCCAGCTCTCAAATTTCTGGGTGACATTATTTGGAAATAACTATCACAGTTATTCTAGTAATGATTAGGTAATATATTCTTTTAAATGTATTATAGTACCATGTAATTATAATTTGCTCTTTTAAGCTCACTACAGTACTATTTAAGTAATTGGATAATAGTTTTAGCTATGCTAAAATTAGATTTTCCTCTTTTCTTTAATATCATTAGGTTAAATTTAGTAATTTGCTGAAGTTGGCAGTTTTGTGGAGAACCATAAACTCAGCGCATGACATCAAGGCTTATCAGATTTATATAGTGGAGTTGCAGAGAAGCTGAGATGTTCAAGTTCTGGTGCTGGCAGTCCTTAAAAGGCACTTGCCTCCAATATTTACAACCTACAGTTTCAGAAACCATAAAACTTCTTCGTTTTTTCACATTAAAAAGAATATGTTACTGTAAATCCCCTGCTCCAGCACTAAGTATCTGAACTTTTTTTTGTTTGGGGGGGGGGGGGGGGGGCTGTTGTAAATTACAACTTGTAATTTGTCTCTTAATGTAACTCTAGACTGTGTATATGTGGCACACGTGGAAAGTAAGGTTACATTTCTTTGAAGCTGAATTGATACACACCATCCTTTAGTATGACGTGGAATTGATGACATGGTACTACATTGAACAAATATATGATCAAAATTCAGAGTGACACAATTACACCTTGACGAGCGGTGTCAACTTAACTCAAAGGGACATCATTCACTAGATCTTACGTGGTTGACTACAAGCTATGTTTAAGATATGTTCTTGGGTCTACTTCTCAATCAATGGACTACTAAATTTTTAATAACAATGAAAATTTAAAAGCTTAAACAAAGGTATTAAAAACATTACGAGAATACAAACACTAAATATAGACATTCAACTATGACATGACTTATTGATCACATCTAACATGATATGATGATGTCAACTGCAACTTGCATATTCAGGCCAATAATCACATCAGACCCCAAAAATTAATCTTACATTCTAATGTAACTACTACTAAGTTTTGGTGATGCTACCCTCTCCAATTTGTACAACTCAAATTTGTGAAACGTAAAATTTTGGTAGCTTGAAAGTTTGGCTTTACTTCTTTTGGAAGGTGACCATACAGAAAAATGCTATTGCCCGGGCAATTACACCCATAAGAATGAGGATGGATATGCACAAACTCCAATCATGAAGATTATAGCCACTTTTCATAAGTGAACCACAACGACTTATGAGCCACACTCCCTGATACCTGCAGCACAAAAGTAATTTACAGCATGTTCAGTAGGTGTGACTGTTAACCATTAATCAATACTATAAATTATCTATCATTCTCTCTTCTTGTTCTTTTTCTTTTTGTAATTTTTACATAAATGCTGATGACATTCTTCAGATATATGAAAACAACTTCAAAATACTTCATAAGCTTATTTTATGCAAACCAATCTCTCTGCTTATTCTCTTTGATTTCTCATGATTTGAATGTAATCCTCAATTTGGTCAAAATTCGTTATTTTCTTGAAATTTGGGCTAAAACTACTACTCCTGCCTAGTATTTGGAAGCAGGTATTGGACTAAAATTAGTGAATGGGAATTGTGGTGTATTTACATTATATGTTTCAATCAGTAAACTTATCCCACAAGCAATTTAATTCAAGTATGTTAGGATATGATGGTCTAAATATTTACAGAGGGTTTACCATTAGGAAGTGACGAGCCCTTCTATAACTCTAATATCAACCTTATGTGATATGGACATATATATGCTACTAGATTACTATTACCTCCACTTAAACTAAACTCTACTTTATGATGAAATTTTAATTATTAAAAATGTAGTCAGGGATTGAACTCTTGAACAAATACCGTCATGGGTAAGATACAAAAAAAAAAAAAGAGCATGAAAACATATTCTTGCTATATGCATTCGATGTGAATAAGAGCATCAATTCCAATAAAGGCAAACATATCAATGCAGTTTTTCTTTAAGCTATCTAAGCAGAGGTACAAATTTAATAATTCAATAATTGTCTTTGACATATTACCTTTCAGCATTTGCAATAACAAATGCTTGTAAAGCCCACTTAGAGTAGCATAAATTAGCTATTTCCTTCAAAATTTTACTATCTTGTGATTGCGTTGCAATGAGAGTCAAAACAACAGGAAGAAGTACTGACCACTGCAAGAAACAAGAAAATTTAGATGAGAAATGAAAACATAATGATGAGTAAATTTCAATTTTGGGGTTCATAAATTTTTTTGTCTGCTTCTAATACTCACCAGCTGGGCTGCACCAGGTTCAAAAAATATGGCCAATGCGTATGCTATGCCAGTCACACAATATACAAGACAAAGCAGCACAACATAATTATCTGCAAAAGTCGATCTTGGATTGGTGTAAAAATAGAACATAGAGAGGTACACCACAGGTTTGATCACTGTATTAAAATGATCAATTGTGTCTTTAGAGAGAAAATAAGCCAAGCTGCTCATGCCAGAATCACTCTCCCTCCAGTAGTGTAATTTATCTAGAGAAAATGATCTCAAGGCCGCAATTTTGCACAGAAGAGCTGAAATTGACAACAATAGATAAGAATAAACCATTGCTCACATGGATGGTGGGTAGATTTTTTGAAGTGATACTTATATAACTTACATACAGCAATCACCGTATAGGTGTACCCAGCTGCACCAAACGTTTGATCACTTGCTTTGGTAAGAAATCCTAAGCATGCTCCAGCTAGTAACAAAATCAGATAATCTATGGCTTGGATCCTAGCTTCCCGCAATCGCTGCTTCCCAACCCTGAAATAACATTGGTGTGGAATAAGTAAAACCACTAACCAAAGAAAATGCAGACACCAAATTGAACAGACATGTACATTATTAGTAGTTTATAAGCTACTCTTTTGCCTTTAACAGATCACGGCACTCAATGGAGTACAAGAAGTGAAATGGTGACATTCAGAAAATATTCTCTGGCATAATTAGCAGAGGTAAGTTTCACTTTGTTTTCCCTTTATAGTTATATGGTTGCATAATATCAACATTGATTTTGGCTTCCAAAATACAAGGAATAGGAAGAACCGAAGAAGCAAGAGGTAATAGAATCAGGCATCATAATTCATATTATCGGAAGAAAAGGTTTTACTTATGTTTTTCCTTCCACTTCTTCATACTTCACTTATATACATAGAAATCTTGGACCACGATAAAGTCATTGCAAGAAATGTAATTATGGAATCTCCAGCATTAACAAAATCCACTTACACTATTCATGCCACACTTTCAAAACAATGACTACTTAAACAAGCCAATTAGTAACCTCAGGGAAAAATTAACCCACATTAAGGAAGATTTCAGCAAGCCACATGGAAAAATGAAACTTTGAAGTTAGCGAAAAAAATAGAGGTCATTAGATGGTTTACCGTTTAAGAAAGTACTTATATTGCTTGAATAAACCAGGATTTTTCCGGTTAGATAAATCCTTGGATTTAAAAAAATTGAGTCTTATCTTCTGCCCCTGCAGCTCCACATTGCTTCTCACATCTTGCCATAATTCTCCAGCAAAGGTTTTGTCTACATGACCAGATCCATTGGGATCTATTTCATTAGCTGAATTTATACTCTGGGACATATCAAATTGTTCTGCATTCTGCCTCATATCAAGAGGTATTGGATATCCATTATGAAGCATCCATCTAACTGGAAGCTCTTTATAACTGAATCCTGAGCTTCCACCAGGTACTGCTATGCCTTCCAAAATGTCAATTAAGTAATCTGGAGGATTAATCCGCTCTGGGATATTGATCCCCAGGCCTGAAAAGTACTCCTCAACTTGCTTGGCTGATCCATGATAGACAGTAAGACCACCTTTTCCCAGAAGTATCAAGTCATCAAACATCTTGAACAAAGCATAGCTGATGCAGAAAGTTCAATCATTAATAAATCAGTGGGAAAGTAATCTTACTGTTAACAAATCAAAATCAAAGTACGGAATATGAGATCAGTCTTCAAAATGGTTTCTGATGCATATTTCCCATGCAGGGATACAAGAAGGAGCATTAAAAAAGAATGTGTACTGCAATACGGTGCACATGACTTTCAACAAGCCAAAAAACTTCAAAATAAATAAGTAAATAAACAAAAACCTGAAGAGCAAACAAAAACAATCAATTTGTAATTAGTGTGATCTATTTCCGTAAAAGGTTTCAAGTAATATTCTCATAAGGTACAGTGTTGTTTACTAGGAATTGTATTTTAGATAAGTAACTAGAGTTTATATACAAAAAAAAAAAAAAGTAACTAGAGTTTATAAGCTGCTGGGTCAATTTTTTTTGTTTTTTTTTTAATTCATTTCGAGGGAATATTCTTAGTCTTGCTTTGTATTAGTTAAAGGTTGTAATTGGGCTTAGGTTTATGGATCTTACTGGGTTTTATCACATTGAATCTTATTTGTGTCTTTGGCATGATTCAAAATTTAACTCCTTACAGAATTAAAACAAAAGTCTGAATTCTTGAAAGATAAGTAGGAGTAACTTCATTTATATCAAATATAATCATTATCATGCATACCAGCATTGCTCCCTCCTTGATTGTGGTGATCCAATCAAAGGAGCCCAAGATGTGAACTTGAAAAGGGTAATCAGAAAAATATTATTAATTGTGTAAATAATCTGTACAAAGAGGTCTCTATTTATAGAGAATGAAAAACCCTAATACTTGACCTAATACTTGACCTAATGGGCTTGGCCCAATACAACAAATAATAATAATTAAATAACCAATATTTACAACACTCCCCCTCAAGCTGAGGAATAGATATTTATCATTCCCAGCTTACTAGTAAGTTCTTGAAATCTGTCTGAAGGAAGTCCCTTTGTTTATAGATCAGCCAATTGACGCCCAGTGGGAATGTATGGAGTGGTAATCATCCCACTATCAAGTTTCTCTTTGATGAAATGACGGTCAACCTCAATATGTTTAGTCTGATCATGTTGAATTGGATTATGAGCTATACAAATAGCGGACTTATTATCACATAGCAGCTTCATAGGTCCCTTATATTTTATTTTGAGATCATCACGTACAATTTTCAGCCACAATAACTCACAAATGCCTTGAGCCATAGCTCGAAATTCAGCTTCTGCACTTGATCTGGCGACCACATCTTGTTTCTTACTTCTCCATGTCACCAAGTTACCGCAAAGAAACATGCAGTAACCAGTGGTAGAACGACGGCCAGTCACGGATCCAGCATAATCAGCATCAGTGTAAACTTCTAAAGAGAGATAGCCATCACGTCGGAATAACAAGCCTTTACCAGGAGTAGCTTTAAGATACTGAAGAATTCTCTCTACTGCCTACATGTGTTTCTCCTTTGGATCGTGCATAAACTGACTGACAACACTAACAGCATAAGCTAGGTCTGGTCTAGTTTGAGCCAGATATATCAATTTCCCAACTAGCCGTTGATATTGTCCTTTATCAACTGGAGGACTCTCCTCTTCATAGCCTATCTTGTGGTTCTGCTCAATAGGAGTATTAGAGGGTTTACACCCGAGCTTTCCTGTTTCTTTGAGAAGATCAAGAACATATTTCCTCTGGCTGATAAAAATTCCTTTCCTTGAATGAGCTACTTCTATCCCTAGGAAATATCTCAGTTTCCCAAGGTCTTTGACTTCAAACTCAGAGGCAAGCCGTGTTTGCAGAATCTGTTTCTCCACAAAATCATCACCTGTGATAATAATATCATCAACATATACAAGGAGCACAGTAAGCTTCCCATTACGGGAGTGCTTGAAGAAAAGAGTGTGATCTCCTTGACTCTGTCTGTATCCTAAGGTCATCATAACCTTAGTAAACCTTTCAAACCAGGCACAAGGTGACTGCTTCAATCCATATAAGGCCTTTATCAATCTACAAACTTTATTTTCTCCCTTCACAGAATCAAAACCAGGCGGGATTTCCATGTAGACTTCTTCTTCTAACTCACCATTGAGGAAAGCATTTTTCACATCAAATTGATTTATATCCCAATTGTAATGGGCAGCAAGGGATAACAAGACTCTCACCGTATTCATCTTTGCAATAGGTTTGAGTGTAACCTTTGGCAACTAACCGAGCCTTGTATCTCTCAAGAGTTCCATCAGAATTATATTTCAGGGCATAAACTCATCTGCACCCTACTGCTTTCTTTCCATTAGGTCTATCAATAACCTACCATGTTTTATTTTTCTCCAACGCATTCATTTCCTCTTGCATGGCTTGAGCCCAATTCCCATCTTTCAAGGCTTCATGTACTGATTTTGGGATTGCAATAGAGTCTAGTGCTGAAACAAAGCTTTTGTGCTGCACAGAAAGATTAGCAGAGGAAACAAAATGGGAGATAGAGTATTGAGTACAAGAGGGACAAGAAGAACAAGATTTCTTGGGACAAGATCTTTTTCCTTTTCTAAGAGCAATGGGTAAATCATCAGAATCAGTAGTAATGGGTAAGTCATCAGAAGTATTAACATCATGATCAGAAATATGAGATTCAGGACTTACCAGTGGTTCAAACGATTGAGGTTGCTGCTGAGGCAATGTGGGTTGTTTCCTTCTTTGATATACCAACTCAGGTGTCATAATCTTCCGTATCTCTGGTGTACTTGATGTATCAGTCACAGGAGGATCACTCACAGGAGGATCAGACACAGGAGGAACAAGAACAAGAAGAGGATACACTGACACAGGTAAAGGAGAAGACACTGAAGATTCAAACTCAAAGAAGGGAGGTGATGAGTTTTCTGGTGAAGGATTCTCCCCCTGAAGATGAGGACCTTGGAAAAAGGACTCAGATTCCTGAAATGTAACATCCATAGAAACAAAAAAATTCCTACTACCAGGGTGATAACACTTGTAGCCTTTCTTATCAGGAACATAACCAAGAAAAACACATTTAATAGCCCTAGGGTTCAACTTACTGCGATGATGTTTATGAACATGAACAAAAGCAACACATCCAAACACTCGTGGAGGAAGACTCATAGTTGGAATAAAAGGGAAAAAAGAAGTCATAGAGTGAATAGGACTTACATGGTCAAGTACCCGAGTGGGTAAACGGTTGATCAAGAATGTTGCAGTAAGAATAGCATCTCCCCAATAGTATTTGGGTACATGTGTCTGAAACATTAATGCACGAGCCACTTCAAGAAGGTGACGATTTTTTCTTTCAGCAACCCCATTCTGTTGGGGGGTGTCAACACAAGTAAGTTCATGAATCATACCGTTATTTCGTATAAATTGATAAAAACTGTGATTAACATATTCAGTACCATTATCTGTTCTTAGTCTCTTGATTTTTTTACCAAATTGGGTCTCAACCATTTTATAAAATTGAAAGAACAGTTGTGGTACCTCAGACTTTTCACGCATTAAGTAAACTCAAGTTACACGAGTGCAATCATCAATAAAAGAAACAAACCATCTATTTTCAGAAGCGTGAGGGACTTTAGAAGGACCCCAAACATCAGAATGAATAATATCAAAGGGTGCAACACTCTTAGTAATACTAGAAGGAAAAGACACACAATGATGCTTAGTAAATTCACAAACATCACAATGAAAAGACTCAACAGGTGTTGAGATATATAAAACCATTAATGTAGCCTCACCCAACAGTTTAAGCTTTTGGGTTGAATTGGTTCTTTACATGGTATCAGAGCCTCGGTGTACCGGGTTCGATCCTCGTCGCCCCCCACTTTCTTTCAAGTGAAATTTGTTTGTTCGCACAGGTAGGTGGGCCTGTGCATTGTTCACCCTTCAAGCCCAGTGGGCTCTCGTGTGAGGGGGCGTGTTGAGATATATAAAACCATTAATGTAGCCTCACCCAACAACTTAAGCTTTTGGGTTGAATTGGTTCTTTACAACAGGCTTAGACAAAAACAATGACGGAAATAAAGACTTGAGTAAACTAAATGGAGGATGTCCCAAACGCTTATGATGAAGCCAAATCAAAGAATCAGCAGTTGATTGACCATGAGACATCAAGATGTGATCTGTTACTTTAGTGCGGGAGATTGTGACACCGGATAGTACAACCCACCTTGCTCTTTAGCATTACCAATCGTCTTCCCCGTGGCGAGATCCTGAAAAACACAATGGGTAGGGAAGAAGGTTACAGTACAATTCAAATCTTTTGTAATTTTATGAATAGAAAGAAGATTTGTGGAGAGTTTAAGAACATGAAGAACATCTTTAAGATGTAAGGACTGTTGTAAGTTTATGTCACCAGAACCCGCAACTGAAGTATGTGAGCCATCAGCTACGGCTATTGTATGAGTTCCAATGGTGGGATGATAAGAAGTAAAAGAGTCAGCACAACAAGCCATATGATCAGTAGCACCAGAATCAACAACCCAAGAATGTTTAAAATCATTACATGAAGAAAGGAAAGAATAAGTTTTAGAGCTCATACCATTCATAGTCAAAGCACTAGTATCAGATGGCTTACTCAGAGACTCAAGGATGATTCGGAGTCGTTCCAACTCATCTGGACGAAATGCAGGTTGGGTCTCATTAGGTGCAGAAGTTATTTTAGTAAAATGCGGTTGACCACGCATCCTAGCCATATTTTCTAAGACAGTTTGCTTTCCATGGAGGCGAAAGCATAGATCCTTGATATGACCTGTTCTTTTACAATAAGAACACCATCGATCATCTCTCTTAGGTCTAGAAGATGCACCATCAGAAAACTTTGTAAAGGAACTCCTTTGAGAAGAGGTCATACTGCACAAAAAATGGTCAAAGGATAACACCAAGAAGCCAAAAATCACAAAAAATACCAAACGACGTCCGATCTGAGAGGAGAGCACAGATCCAGAAAGAGGATGAGGAGAAGATCATAAAAATTTTTGGCCGGAGTTGGAAAAAGTGGCCCACGCGCCTCCACGCGCCTGTGGAGGTGTCTGCGAGTGGGCCTTACTCGCCGGGAGTGTGGCGGCGCGTGAGAGCGCGTGCAGCGGCCGCTGGAGCTGAAATTTCTGCGGCGAGGTCGTCCGACGGTTGCGAACCTGTCTGTGGCCGGTCGGAGTTGAAAGGTCGCCGAAAAAGTGTCCAAAACGCGATGAACAGTAGCGGCCTTGTGTTGTTTTGGGAAGATCGGGTCGTCAAACGATTATAACATGTCCGTAAGCTGATAGATCAGAGAAAAAGGATTTGAAAACTGGTCCTCTTGGTCCAAAAGGTCCACCAGAAAAATTTTCCGGTGGCAGCTAATGGCGGCAAGAGGCTAAGAAAGAAGGTTTCTGTTTTAACAGAGGTAATTGCGGAAGCAGAGCCCTCAGGATCGAGAGCTCTGATATCAACTTGAAAAGGGTAATCAGAAAAATATTATTAATTGTGTAAATAATCTGTACAAAGAGGTCTCTATTTATAGAGAATGAAAAACCCTAATACTTGACCTAATGGGCTTGGCCCAATACAACAAATAATAATAATTAAATAACCAATATTTACAACATGTGAAGTATGAGTCCTTGTGCCTCTTATACTTGTAATATGCATTTTTATCATTTGATCCGCCTAAACTTCTCTGGACCTTTTCTTGGAAAATCTTAATACAATGTTCTTTAAATCTAGCCTTATATTTTCCAAAATCTCCCTTGGCAGCGAACGTATAGCACCAAATTTGGTTATTTATTACCTTCTTATTGCTAGCAGACCATCCTGAACCTATTATTCCGTTGATAAGTCCTAAATTACCCCCACTTGACCGGCCTTATCTATCCTAAAACCCAAACTAGCCCCTTGAAATCTAAGTTGTTTTAATGTCCTGGGTTACCTTGGATGACCATTTTCTGAACCAGCATTTTAGTTAGATCAGTTGCATGAAATTTATTACCCCAGAAAACATGTTAAGAATAAAATAAAATTATAGTACAGTAAATGGTAGTGGAAAAATAACAATTATACTAATAATGAGCAATTAGGCAAGCAATATCCCAATGATGCAGACATGGAATGAAAATTTACCTGGGTTGGTGAACCACCATGCAAATGTTAACTCCCTCAAGAGCTTCACGTCTCAGTGCTCTTAGAAGGAGCTGAGATGATGCACTGTCCAAGCCAGACGTAGGTTCATCCAAGATCAAAAGTGAAGGTTCCATAACCATTTCCAGTCCAACATTTACACGCTTCCTTTGGCCTCCAGAAATACCTCGCTTTTCTACAGTTCCAACCAATGAATTCCGCACAGATTGAAGCCCCAAGAATTCAATGACTCTTTCAACAACCAGAACTTTTTCTGGTTTTGACAAGTCAGCAGATAGCCTTAAACAAAAAAACATTTGAATAAACACATATTCAAACACAGAAAGCTACCATAAACAATAATATATGTACTAGTATTAGAAGAGAACAGCAAGACAAGCAAGACCAAGACAAAAGAAAACTGATAAGAATGTCCAACAATGTAATATACCTGCACTGTGCATTGAACCAGAGATTCTCTTCCACCGTCAGGTTTCCATGAACTACATCATCTTGTGGTACAAAGCCAATAATTTTCTTGAAGGAGTGGATTGATTCATTCCTTCCATTTATAAGAATTGAACCAGTTACCAAGCATCCAAATGCCTTTCCAGCTAGAGCTGAAAGAAATGTTGTCTTGCCAGCCCCTGATGGACCCATGACAGCAGTGATGCGGCCAGGTTTAATTTTTCCAGTAACATATCTCAATATATGTTTGTTTTGAGCTTTCAATGTAAGAGTCAGATCTTTGAAAGCAATCTCAACTAAAGGCCTTTTCCTTTTTTCAGTGTTTGCAGCCATTTTAATTACTCCTGAGAATGTAAGGTTTTTGTTTTCTTGTTGCTGAGCCTTCTCTTTTTCAAGTTGAGTATATGCATAGTTAAAAATTTGGCTATGTGTATGCGGTTGTTTTTCCTTTGAAATATTTCCTGTAACACTTTTATCTCTAGTTCCTATTTCTATATTAAGGTTGTCATTAATATCAGGGTCATTTTCAATTTCATGTATTATCTCCATTAGACCACTGGGTTCTTTTCCCTTTACCTTCGGCACCACAGATGAACTTGCAACCATGTTTGAAGTGATAGGTTGTGGATGTAACAACAATTCACCATCCGCTTCAGAAGTTGTTTGATTCAAAATGTTAATTTTTTCCAGATTTGCTGCATCCTTCTTACGGGAGAATGTGTGTGATAGTTGAGTTTGCAGTCCAGTTGCACCCTTCTTAGCAGCATCTTTTGCAAGTTTCCATCTTTGGCGTGCATTTGCAGTCGTCCTTGCACTTCTAGCTGCTGCTTCTCTAGATTTGGCCACTCTCCTTTCCCTAGTAGTGAGAACTTGGTCAGAACAGTTGTAAATAATGAGTAGCAAAGTACTCAAAGCAGCCTGCATAAGCAGTTAAAAGAGTGTTAAATTCTACCAACATGGTCTACATGTGTGTGCACGTGCACGTGCACACGTGTATAACTACCTATGTTTCTCTATGTGACATGGTACAAAGCATTGACCATGATTCATGGATCATCTTTGCACATGGTGTAAAAACAATAAAACAAAGAAACACAGGAACCATATAATATGAGAAAATTTTAGTGATATATATGCAATATAGCTACAATGCATATATCCCATTATTTCTATTCCATTCCCCAACATTCACGCTCAAAAATAACAACTTACAATGAGCATAATTCCATATACATGCATATCTGGGGTTGCTGTGTTTGAATTGCATGAACTCAACTTGAAGCATCCTACAAGATAATCAGTAAACAATCATATAGACTCTGCATATAGACAGCCCAAAATTGATTAGTAAATCTGAGACCTAAACAGAGATTTACTGCAGTAAGAATTCACAATTCATGATATATTACTTGTCTCAGATGTGGAACCCATCCTGCAGTAATGCCTGAAATTTCAAGAGCAAACGTTAATAAAATTCACAATAATGAACAGAAGCAGCATAGTTTATCTTATAACCATCAAAAGCAGGTAAAGGTACAACAATTATACTCAGAAGTCAGAACTAAAGTGGTCATTTTTTTACTGGCAAGGTAAAAAGTCTCCGGGGTTGCAGTGCAACTATGCAAGCTCATTTCCTCCAAAAGTTTCGAACACTTTATATTACTTCTTGAATCACTATAAATCCTCAATTCCTAATTATTAGATGAGAAAAGTATTGAATGTTTTCCATGTTTCCAAGATATTAAATGCATCGACTTTTTCATTTAATACTTTATTTATTTAGTATTAGGAGGATTATTAAGATGATGTTTTTGGAGGATACAGCAAAACTCTTCTACTAGGATCCAAATTTGGTAGTTTACAAAGAGTGATCAAGTGTTGGAGCAAAATAATACCCACTACTGCAAGGAATTCTTATGGTGGTTGTTGGACAATAGGATCCTGCTGAGCAAAATATCTCACTACTGCTACTAACGTCAGCCCAAACATTTGCTCCACCACAGGTATGATTTGGCTGCATTGGGGGCGGTTGATAAAGATATCTGCAAAAATATATCTGGAGATTAATTTAATACACAGAATGAAAGTAACAACTCAAGAAGAACAAAACAAAAATTTGGGCAAGAATTAGAACTCACGGTTCACATACGCCAGTTGTTTTATTGAGTGTAGCAAGAGGGCAATAAGAACCAAGAGGGCATGCTTCAAGAACAGCATTTCGAATGCGTGAAAAAGATAGAAGCATAAGATACAGATTTTAGCATACTCATACAATCATTAGTGTTATTACATACAATGTCATTATGCTTCACAACTATAGACATCTCAGCACAGAAACTGCAAATGATTAAAAAAAACTATATATATATATATATAGATAGATATTACTGACTAGCACAATATAAGACATAGTTTCAAGAGATATGAACTACCCAGCAAGCACATTTCTAAATATGTATTCAAAACTTCTTTACTGGATCTTTACAATCAATGATATTTCACAGATTGGAGATGCTCAAGATTTGAATAAAAGTTTGGTATATTATGTTTATAGAAGCTATTTTCAGTATCAGTAATGAAGAAGAAATTTTAAAGATTCTCATTATACTTACGTATCATGCATGTGATACCATGAGGACAAAAGAAGCCTTCACAACATGCTTGACAGTTTGAAGTTCTTGCAGGTATCTCATTTGAATTTTTAAGGTCAACCTTTTGGCTTGAGGGAACACTACAGGCCCATCCTGGCTCACAACCGGAGACCCATGAGGTCAAATTGCAGTTCTTGTTAGGCATTAAATAATTGGCACTTGTAGATCTCTCCAATAAACTATTCAAGTAAAACTTCACTTCTGCTGCTGTACACAAACGCTTTGTAATATCTCCTGTTAAATAATCATCAGAATATGGAAAAAAGAAAAAAGAAAAAGTGTCTTTACTTTTCATGTATTTTCTTATAAACAAAAAGGAGCAATAGTATAAGATCTTTCGAATTGTCAGTGTTCATACCATTAGTTTTCTTAATGCAAGAAGCCAAGAAGCCCAAATCAGATGAAAAATCGAATGCTTGGTTCCAATCAGCATCCCTGAAACAAGAAAATTCAGTTTCACAATCAAATCAATATCCATCCATACAAAATTCAAACCAAAATTCAAGTAATAAGTGCACATAATTAAATTTCGAAATTGATATTATCACTACAAGGATCTCAGGACAAGGACTATATTAAAAAACAGATTATTCCATGCATTAAAAAACATTGATTCTAATTATCACTACAAAGACCATCCTACATCCAAACACCAAAAAACACTATGACTGAGCTCACTGATCTACTTGTCCAGCTCAGAAGGTTACTAAAATGACCAAACAGAAGCAAGAAAAAAAAGAAGAAGGGAAAGAAGCAAATCACTCACTGATCTTTGACACAAAAACTGGACTCTTTGCTTATTTCCTGACTGAAAATTGAAGTCAAATTGGAAAGTTGACTATACACAAGCTGAGTAATAAGGGGAAGAACAGCAGGGTTATGAACTTGGTCATAATCATTCATGTCTTGGCACTGCATCATCCCAATGAACAAGCTCAAAACCACAATGGGGTACCAAAGAAGCACCCACAAATGCTTTGAACTTGTGCACCTACACATGTTGGAGTGACCAGAAAGAAACGTGGAAAATGAATGGAAATGAAGTTGTTAAGTCTCAACAACAACAAAAAGGAGGGTTTGAGATTTCTGCTTCAGAGAAACGAAGCAATAGACAGGACAGGAGACAATGAGAAGTGAAAGAGTCATGATGGGACCCGCCAAGGGTAGAGTCATGATACCACGTTCGAACGAGGTTACTTGTAATTTGAATCCATCAAAGGGACAACTATTTTGTTGTCCAAAAAGGCAAGAGACTCCGTTAATTTAGCCTCAAGTTTAGGTCAACGTGTTAGATTCTGACTTGTAAAGGAAATAGTTTTTACTCCTGTTTCAATATATACAGATTAGAAAGATAAATGATGCTAGTTAACTTTTGGTCACCTATCACGGAATTGTGCTCTCATGAAATTGAGCAGGTGCAATCAGAGTAATTTGATTCTTATATTATTTTTTTGAGAGAAATTTAAAGTCTTAATTTTGGATTCACCTCGAATTGAATTAGTCGCGAAGCAATGAACTGATTGAAATATTTCTGAAAAAAAATATTTTTTTTTCATCATTAACCATTAATCCTATTTGTATATGATGAATTTAATTAATTAATTATACGAGTCATTAAAGATAAGTAATATTATAAATATAACTGAAGGTAAAATTTATTATCTTTATACTAATTATATACATATAAAGAGAGGGAAGCGGACAAAATCTTTTGACTTTAGTATAAAATTAAAAAATCTTATTTCCTAGTTCGTTGATTTTTGTTCATATGAACATTGTGAGGCTTTTTGATCCTTTTGCCCCTCATTAATTAATTAATAACCAATTTGCCCCTCTCCCATAACTATCCATCATTCTGCCCCTATTTAGTCGATCAACTTGCACTTTTAATCGACTAAATTGTTAAAATTCAGAAAACATGAATCACAAAATTTAATCGACTACATCCTCAATTTGATCGATTAAATTTCGTGCACTTTTAAACGACTAAGGCTATTATGTAGTCGATTAAATTTTGCACATCAGGTTTTTAAAAAAAAAACTCATTTCGCAAAAGGGGTTATTTTCAAACCCTAGTCGATTAAGAAGGTTCCAAGATCTCCTCTCTTTAACCAAGTTTGAATCCCATCCCCTTGAAGGTCCGATTGCACCATCATTGGTTCACCCCTTGTGAAATTGACATTGTAGGTAACGTTTTCTAACTTGCATTTAGTTTTAAGTTTTGATTATTTTTTTTTGTTTTCTCCATGATATGGTTTCTGTTTTTTTTATTTTCTTTTTTACGTTTGTAGAAGGTTGTTTGAGTTTTTGTGGCTTTATGTTAGGGGTAGGGTGTTGAGTTTGATGTGAGGGTTAGGGGCAGGGTTTATGTGTTATGTTAGGGTTAGGGTTAGGGTTAGGGTTAGGGCTAGGGCTAGGGCTAGGGTTTCTGTTTTTTGTTAGGGTTTAGACTTAGGGTTTGTGTTTGTATGTTAGTGTTAGGGGTGTGTTTTCCGTTTTATGTTAGGGTTAGGGTTTCTGATTTTGTTTGGGTTTAGGGTTAGGGTTTGTGTTTTTATGTTAGGGTTTAGGGTTGTGTTTTCTTCTTTATGTTAAGGTTAGGTTAGGGTTTTGATTTTGATATTGAATTTTGAAATTTTTTGATATTGTTATTGTTCATTGATATTGTTTCCACTTGCATTGTAGGTACGGTTGTTCCCATGGCTGGCCGTAGAAGATCAGATAACGTGAAAAATGAGAGACGCACGAAGCTACGACAAGACCGGTTGTCTTCGTCAAGGCCACAAAACGAAGAGCCCGCTCCTGTCGACCTCCCATTCGGATACTTATTCGAGCATAACCCCTTGGTTCACGATGCATTTGTTCGTGACCATTTGAACCGACCCATATGTCCGGCCAAATCACTTGATACGGCTCCGGTATGGTTGGAGTTACTGGGGTATGATTTTGATTATGCGCAGACTGTGGAATATGACGCAGATAACAGCATAACACTTCCAGGATATACACGAGGTGATGCCGTGCATGAGCAGAGGAGGCCTGGAATGGTCCGTGGCGAACACATTCACTATACGGTGGGGTTGCTTACTGTGGAGTCTCGTATACTACACTATGTCATCACCCATATTCTGTTTCCGCGAGCTTTCAATCATTCTAGGGTTTTGGAACATGACATTCCCATCATGTGGGCTATCCGACATGGTACTTTGGTGAATTGGAGGCACTACATCTGTTGGATGATGTTTAAGGCCAAACACAAGGGTGCATTTTCATTTGCTTGTCTGGTTCAGAGGATATTGGAGCACTTTGGTGTTCCCATGGACAATGTGACCTTGAAGAAGACCACAGGGTATAATTGCAAGTTTGGAAAGCGTCTACTGGAGTAGTGCAAGATGACAAAGAACAGGACGGGTGTGTGGCAGTTCACAGGTGCGGTTGATGTTGAGGTTCCTGATGTTGCTCCACTTGCAGACATGGTTGAGCCCGAGGTGGAGGATGATTGCGACGACGATGATGAGACTGACTTGCAGGATATAGCTGAGCCTGAGGGTGGGTTTTCATTGCGTGATGTCATGAAGGGCATAAACGCCACGCTGAAGAAAATAGGAAAAATGGTGCTGAAACATAAAAAATGGAGGAAGAGTCACATCCAGAAAGGGAATGAAAGGTTTAGACACATACAGGGAAGGTTAAAGGGTGTTGAAGATGGGCTTGCTCGTCTAGAGCTTGCACGAGGACAACAGGTTGAGGATGCTACAGGGGAGGGGGCTGATGTGTCAGATGAGGATAACGAGGAGACGGCGTCCGAGGAGGAGGAGGATTAGCTTTAGGGTTTATGTTTTTATTTTACGTTTGTAGTTTATGTTGTTATGTAATTGACTTCGGTCTTCCTATTTGACATTTGTAGTTTATGTTGTATTATGTTTACTGGCTGAACTATTTAATGTTATCAACTTTGTTGTCAAAATCCACGTTACTTGTTACTTATTTATGTCATTTTCATTGTTTACCACATGAACGAATAATGGTACTTTTCCATGAAATTTATCAATTTGGGTCTAATCACAGCCCAACAGGTCTAAAATGTCCAATGCAACTCAGAACAGTCACTAATAAGAGAGTTAAATGAGTTTACCAAGTTTTGGGTATCCTAAACCAAGATTTAGCCAATACGTGTACATTTAGGGTTTATAACGGCCACGATACTTTTTGTACTCCAAATTGTGTTCCCCAAGTCATAATATGCGTGTACATTAGTGTCCAATCGGTTTCAAATCAAAAATATTCGAAGAAAACAGATTGGGGTT